GGAATTTCCGTTGTAATTCCCCACTATAAAATTTTATATTTTTGGTTTTACATTAATTCTAATTTTATCAAGGGAGTTACAAAATCAAATTGTTATTAATAAACAAAAAATTTATCTCACAAAAAACACGCCTTTTTTTATTGTCTTTAAAATTTTTTTATAAAAAACCTATAAATATCACGTTATAAAAAAAATAGGTTAGTCCCTCATTTTAACAATTGCTTTCATCGCCATAGAGACATATGAGATCAAAAGAGAAGGAGAAGAAAAAAGGAAAGAAAAGTAAATTAAAATAAAAAGGAAAGAAAAGAAAGTTAGAAAATTTAAAGTGTTTAATGGATATCGTACTGATAGAGTGAGAGTAATCTAATAACTATGGTAAAAATATTCTAATATTATTATCGTGAAGTTATTACAACGTTTACTAAAAATAAATAGATTGACATAACCACTCTTGTGGGGTACGACGACACATCAAAATTTAGAAATGTATCTCCATTTTATATTCATTATTTTTATTTTGGCATTATACTCCCCCCCAAAAAATCAAACCGTAAACTCTGTAAAACATTTTATTTATTTTAGATAAAAATGTTGAAGATAATTATAAATAACTTATGCCAATTTTTTTAAAAAAAAAAAATAGATGAAGGTAAATTGTAAATATTGTATAAATTTTTCATATTTCAATTTAAAAATTGGAAAATAAATTACCAAACCAAAATTAATAAAAAAAATTTGGATAAACACAAATAATATAACCTAAGAGATATATAACCTTAAACGAAGCTACAGAAAGGATTTGGAGATGACAATTAATAACCATCTTCGAGTATTATATCAATGATCATATCTTAAGTCTTATAGATCCTAACCCCAAGAGGGAATATTCTGGAGGGGTTAAATTATCAATTTATGCGCCGACTTAGATCTAAGAAATAATTTTTCTCTTTATTTTTCCATTTTGGCTATATTTTATATTATGAAATTTAAAATTTGAACTGTAAATGAAGATTAAACAGGCTTGGGTAATATTTTTATGGATAAAATATTGAGTTAGCCATTTTTTAAAAATCAGCTTAAATCGTGCCATTTAACAACACTATGTGCCACTACGAGCTGAATGTATCATACTTTCAAATACATTTTATACGAATATATTTATACTAAATTGTCGCTTCAAATTAATTGGCGGTCTTATTTATTTGAATTGCATATGCCAATTAGTCTCAATTTTTTTTACCACTTCAAAAATATTGGCAGCCATTTTTATAAATTAATCTAAAATAAAATGCTCATTAATAAAAAAAAAATTTTTTCCGTCATGGGTTACTTTATTTGAATATTTACTGATTAAATGAATATTATGCCTTAAAATGAAAAATGAATAATTGCGATATTTTTAAATTAATTTAATACGATAGGTCAAATATATTGATGATGGTGAAAAAAAATAATCTTTTGAATAAAATATATTAAATTTCCTGTTATTTTTAATTAACATTTTATATTAAAATTCTCGTTTCAAATATGAATTCAATTTTTTGATTCCCAGAAAAAATTTTTACCACAGAAATGTTGGGGCCATATTTATAAATAAAAAAAAACTTGTATTCATGCGCAATTTACAGCATTCATCTCATAATTGTTATTATCCACATAAAGCTAAACCTGCCCGATCGCCAACTCTGGGCCAGCTGAATATGGGCCGGGTTTTTAATTTTAGTGATAAAAAATATATCTTATATTGATGTCTGTCAGGTTCCTTTTTTTTATCGGAGGATATAAAATAAACGTTACATTTTCTTGCATAAAAATAAAGGAAATTACGAAATTACTTTTTTTATTTACATCATTGTGTTATCGCCAATGTGTTTTTTTCGGGCAATGTGTTATTTTTTCAAATTTAAATAATTTTTTGAGCGCGTTTTTAAAAATTTAAAAATCTAATTTTACCGAAAATGTATACCATGATGTTTGGAATACCTACCCTAAGAAATTCAGACAATTTTTCCACGAACTGTTAAACTTAATATATACAAATTATAAATTGCTCTAAGGTTAAGAGCAAAATTGTCTACAATTCATAAGATAGATATTCCAAACATGATAAAATGTATTTCCGGTAAAATCCGATTTTTAAATTTAAACAAAAAATGATTTAAAGTTGTAAAAATAATTACATTGCCGAAAACACATTGACTGACGCTAACAATGTATAATAAAAATAAATTAACTTTTATAAAAAGATAGAAAATAGATCTATAAATACAGAAAAAATAAAAGTTTCTTAAAAAACATAAAATTACAAATCTTATTTTATCATTTTATTTTATTACCCATTTATTATTTTTTTGTTTCGAATCAGCTTGTGCCAGCTTAGCTTACAACAAATTTATATCAATTTAAAATCTAGCGATTTAATTTTCGGGCCAAACTGGCCATATTTAGCTATAATATTTTTTTTCAGTGTAGTATGGTTAAACGGCTCCATTTTTTAAAAAAATGTCTAACTCAATATTTTCAGACCAAATACATAGCGCAAGCCTCAAGATTTTAGTTAAAAAATGTCCAAACCTTTCTAACCATCAATGAGCAAAATCTCTGAGGAAAGTCGATTTTTAAAAAATCGAGCATAACAAATTTTTTAGGTATTCCTATGTTAGTTACGGCCAAGACAACATATAGAAATTATCTAAATAGCCAATTTTTTTTTTTACAATAAGATATGTTTTTTTTTAAAAAAATATTTTTATTAAGAAAAATGGATCTATCATACCCCGCAGTACACAAAAACGAGATCCGTTATTGAATTCGAATTCATAACTATGCGATTAGTCATATATGCACACGCTTTTAGAAAATAAGGATTGTTTAAAAAAAAAATATATATCAGATAACTGCAGAGGTACTATTTCATTTCGGCCCAGCCCGGGTTTTATATTTTCAGGCCGGGCCCGGATTTTTATCCAAAAAGATTTAAGGCCCGTCCTATATAACCCGAGTAGGGCTTAGGGCATGCAGGTCTTTGATATATATCATAATCATGTGTGTGTGTCTTATAGATGAAAGCAATTTTTTATAAAATACCGAGTAGTTCAACACTACCTTTGGTATTTTAACATCCTTAATCTTTCATTTTTCCAAAATCTAAATTTTTTTCTATTTTTTCTAATAAATATCCGAAATAAGGTTAGTTATTTTTTATAAAAAATATAATATTTTGTAATGATAAATTTTATTTTTTTTATTCAAGGAGATAATTTTTACATTATCTGATTAACAAGTAGTTAATGAAAAATAAAGTTAATGAAATAGGATTATGAAAAAAAATTCTTTTTTATAATATAAAAATACTTGTATCTCCCTCCCCATTCATGACAAATTTCGGAAAATATTTCAAAAGAAAACAGAATTTTCAAATCAAAAAATATATTTATTTATTATCATGGGAAGGAAAAAAGTAAAATCATCTTTTTATATAAAAAAACATGATTTTTTTTTAGATCCTTTTTATTTTTATTTTCATTTTCATCACTTAATTTTGTTTTGTATGATGCATTGTATGGAATTAAATTTAAAATTCAAATCATTTTTGAGTGGATTATATGTTTCACAGTTGTCAAAATAATGTCTTTTTATATATATTAAAAAATAAAATGTATTAAACTTTATTTTATTATTGTTACTTAATTACAATAGCATAAATTAATTCATATTACTAATGTTAATGTAAGCAATACAAGACAATATCTAGCGAGATCTATCTATAATATCAAAAAATTTTTAGAAAAGCAGAATGAATATAGAGGAAAAAATGTCGTAATTTAAATATATCACTCTTATTCTCTAGTTGTTTTCCTTTCATTAGAATTATGATTAAAGGGAGGCTTCGTCGATTTATCCATTATCAAGATGAGTAGTTTAAAACATATCCCCACTGAATAGGACGTTCACTTATTGGATAATTAATTTGAATCTAGGAAAATAATTCCTCGGAAAAAAAAATCCCCGTATTATTAAAGATATTAAAAATTAATAAAATAGGAGAAAAAATTTCTTTATAAATAAATATTTTCACGAAATAAAATATCTTCAAATAAAATGTTTAAAAATTTTAGGAAAATCAATTCCGGGGAATTATTATTGAGAGATTTTTCTTCCGGGAAATTATTTTTCGCTTTTACCATTTAATTTTATATATATATTTTTTTGGCGAATTAAATATTTCATTTATCTCACCAAAAGGATACATCATGCGTTATTCTTAGTAAGAGCTCCTTTTTTTTCCCTTATAATTTATAGACTTCTTCGAGGTAAATGGGAAGATAATTATATTACCAGTGAAAATAAAAAATTAAAATAAATATAAAAAATAGTTAATAAATTAATTTTTATTAACAAAAATTTAAAAAAAAAACAAACAAAATAAAAATTAAATAAATAAAAAAGATTTAAAAAAAAAGGTAGAGGCGAAAAGTGAAAAGAAGTATATAAATAAATAAAATATAATACACAAGATTAAAAACAAATTTTATGAGACTTTTAAATTTTTACAGTATACAATGTAATATAGTGATGAGAAGATTAAGATGATGATATTAAATCAAAGGTAAAAGTGATAAATAATAAATTTTGTTTTGTTTACATTTACAAGTTTAGTTCAGGTGTGGGTGAGTGTGATAAATAAGATGAAATAATAAATAAATTAAAATACACACATCACATCAAAAAATTCTGCTTTTTTTTTATTATATATATTATATTTATTATAATCCCTTTTTATTTTATAAGTAAATAAGTTTCATTTATTTTTCATTATTATTTTTTAAATTAAATTAAATTTTTATTTTGTCTTCTACTTTTTTTCCCCTCAAAACACCCTTTTTTAAAAAAAATTTATTAAATAATGATAAAAATAAATAAATTGGCCCATTAAAAATTTGAATAAATTTGAATAATCCCTTTTTAGCAAAAACCTATTTTTTTTTGCTCCTTGTTTTTTTTTGTTTTTTTTAAAATGTTTTTTTGAAGAAAACATTTAAAGCAATTTCATTATTTTTATTATTCCAATTGTGTTTTTTTAAAAATGTTTAATTTAACAATTTTATAATAAAAAAAAATTAAATTTTCTTTTTAAATTTTTTTAAAGGATAACTATACTATAAAAAAAAAATGAAATAAAGGATGATAAATTCACGAAACTTAAAACATCATAAATTTAAAATTTTTTAAAAAAAAAATTTAAAAAAATCAAATCATGGTCATATCGGCAGAGAATTATAATAACATGGATTCTTCACACATCCCGATCATAGATAGGTATGACTACGAGCGCATGCGTTCATTGATAAATAATGCTAATAACGGCTGTTACGCTAATTGGAGACTTAAGGTGGCCTCAAATAGGTGCAAGGATCATTGCCAGGAATCTCGTCATCTCAACGGGAAAAAAGTAGCCAAGATGGATGACAAAAATATTTCGAACATTCAAAATTGCGATCATCCATCTAATCCGGCGATTCCTGGCGGCTTAAGCGGCGGCGGTCTCAGAGTTATCGACAGAAACATAATGTGTGATGATATGCAAGAAATTCTATGCGAAAGGCACCACGCTCACGACGAGCCAAGGAACCCAGTACCTTGGAGCCTCATCAAACGTAACGAGGATAGAAATTGTCGCACTGATAGGTCAAACAAGGATCGCCCGCAATCTTGCTATTACCTCAATAACGTTAACGTCGACCCTCAACTTTATAACGTCAAATACATATCGGCCGAAGACCCCATCGATGGTTCGCTGGCCAATAGGGTCGCTCTCGAGAAAAGGTGTTATCAATACGTTCACGACAAATCATCCCAAACCTCCTACATCAAAGGAAAACTGTTGGGCAAGGTTAGAATAGAATATACTTTTATTTTTAAAAAATACTCCACTATTTTGTTCAAAAGAGTTTTTGATTCGGACACATGGACCGAAAAATGCCCCTTAATTAAATTCTTTTAAAGTTGTTATACAAAATTGGAAGACTTAACGTTAAAATTACGATCAGGTCTAATCATATGTTTTTTCAAATAAAAATATTTGTTTATGTTTTGGCCTCCATGGGTATATCCAATATAATTTTAAACGAACCTGACAACCATTTTTTTAAGAGATCGAATATGGGATATAAGATTTTAACTTAGGTCAGTCAGTTTATGAATTAATAATATTTAAATGATTTAAAATGTTTGTTATCTTTTTACTTTTTTTACTCTTATGAAATAACAATTATTTATATTTTTACCATGATAAATCTAAATTTTAATGCAATCCCCAAAGTCAGATTTCAAGATGTTCTTTTTTTAAAAAAATAAAAATAAAATACGTAACAAGTTCATATATTCATAAATCGTGTTTTTGTTCTTAGCTCAATTTTTCTTTTTTTTTAGCTTTGTGTGTGATTACATTATATTGTTTTCTTTGTATTTTTCCTTTAGTAATCATAATTGATAACATAACTTGAAATTTAATTTATCATCTACCACTCCCTGTTTTTATTATTAAAAAAAAATCTTAATTTCTTTAACTTTCTAGATGAGTCTTATTATACTTTTGGAAGTGTCTGTACTCGTACTCTTTAAAGCATTTATAATAATTATATAAATCAGATCAGAATAGTGTTGTTAAACGGCTCGTTTTGAGCCGATTTTTAAAAACGGAACTCAATATTTTAGCCAAGCCTCGAGATTTCGCTAATAGATGTCCAAACCTTTGTTCCTTCTACAAACATAATCTTCAGGCTTGCATAATATTATTCTAAATGAAATATTGAGTTCGCTGTTTTTAAAAATCAGCTCAAAACGAGCCGTTTAACAACACTAGATCAGAATCACGTAAATAATGATTAATCAAATAAAAAATCAAATTTCGCAATTTTTTTCGCAACTTTTGGATTTTAAAACGAATATATATTTTTTTAGTATTATAAACATTCATTATTCAAAAAAAAAATCACAGAAATAGAAAGAGGTATATTATATCAAATGGTTTATAAAAAGATAGGTCACAGGTGTATTATCTTATTTGAACTTGTGAAGTAATTTACGATATCTTGAGAAAAGTCCCATTCCCATGGCATAACGAATACACTTTAAACAAAATTCCATTATCGTCCAAAATCCGATTTCCAATAAATAACATAATCCTTACAATCATAATTTAATAATACTATTTTTTTCACTTCTACAATAATTTTAATTTTAAAGTGGAATTCACAAAGGGGAGTTGGCACAATAATTTATCACATTATAGAAGAGACTTGATAATTGCTTTTTTTAAAAAAAATATTCCTTTCAACAAAATTTATTTATATAAATATAATAATATTATAACATGAAAATAACCGTCTTAAAAGATTTTTTTGTTACAAGAAATATAAAAATAATACTTGAACTTAAACAAACGAATGACATCTTCCTAGAGATATATATATATAATCCTATTCCTATCATTCACCTATTAAAAATAAATAAATAAGGCTTTATACATCTTATTATTAATTGTTATGTCTAGTAATAACATTTTTATATAAAATAAAATACCCTTTTTTAACAAAAAAAGGTGGACAATTTGGATTATAATATATATATTTTTTTAAATTTAATGCAAGGTGTAAAAAATTATATATATAATACTTTTCTTTTCTTATGTCATTATAAATATTTTTAATAGAAAATTAAATCACATCACATCATAATTAGAGAAATAGGGGAAAAACCAACTGTTAGGCCGTGTAATAGTTTGTCTTATTTCATTAAAAGGAGAAAAGCCAATTTTTAATACTTATATAATTCATAGCTAGCGTCTTTTAATTTTGAGATCTGATTTTTCTTGAATCGTATTCCAGAATGTATACAATGAAAGAAAAAAATATTTATTCAGTGCAGGGTTGGTGGCGATAAACTATCTATGTTGAAATACGATTCGACAACTTAATTCTGTTAAAATACGGGGGAAAAACCCAAATGTTAGGCCGTGTAATGGTTTATATTATTTTTGAAACTTAGTTCTGTTTAGTCCAGCCTTTAAACAAATTTCAAACTTCTTATTTTCGAATCGAATAGTTAAAATTTTTATTTGAATTATTCGATTTAGTTCGTCGAATATTCTATTCTGTCCGAAAATTGAATTCTTTAAAAAATGGATTATTAAAATTTTTAAAAAGTGATTTACAGATGTGGAAAAAGTTCCGCAAAGGAACATGCTGAATAATTAAGAATAATTTTCTTTTTGAATATTTATGATATTTGCAAATATTAACAAATTATTTCGAATATTTACTAATAATACGAATAATTTTAAATTATACATATAATCTCGAATAATTTAATCGAACAATAGAGTAAAAAAATATTAGGAAGATAGTCTATTTTCCGAATTCACGAATCGAATAATTTTTGTTTTTCGTGTGCGTAAAATACTTCAAATCGAATAAAGAATAATTCGTTTAGCCTCTATCTCTTTAGGCTGTTTAGAGGAAGCCGTATAGGCGGAAACAGACTAATGTTTAGAAATAAGACAAACCGGAACATGGCCTTAAATTTTATTATAAAAATGGACTACTACGATTCTTATATGTTTACAAGTGACTTGTGGCCTAATTATTCAACTTAAAATTTTATATCTCAGTTTGATGGGTTTTTAGGGAACCAAAGCTTTGCTCAATTTATTAGTATATATATAACGGGGACGGTTTAATATTACGTGTCACGAAAAATATAATCTACCAAAACTTTTTTGTCATAATTATAAGTCAGCTAGGACCGAATCGACCCCCGTTTAAATTTTCCATCAGGGTTTTTTTAAGCACGTAATAATTCTTTTCAATGAAAATGACACAAATTTGCTTAATTATCTATCAGTTTTAAGAACATCTTCAAAATTTAGGCCGGCTCGCCCCATGGAAATTTTTTTCCAACAAGGCTCAAAAATCTTCCTCGACCGCGGGTCTAGCTTTCGGGTAGGGCCAGACTGCGCTTACCCCTAGCCACAATCAATTCAATTTATTTATTTATAACAATTTCTACTTTGTTTTTTATATACAGTTTTTTATGTTAGGAAATAGTTTTTTTTAAAATTTCTATATAGAAATATGCACAAACTTCTCCGATTAATCCATAAAAACTTGTTTAATATTGCCAAACAAGTTTTAGGGGATAGAGGAGCTAAGTTTGAATGCGTTTACCCCTGCAAATCTGGAAAATTTGCTATTTTTTTTTTTGAAAAAAATAGATTTTTTATTTGCCGAATAGACAATTTATTAGTAAAAAAAAAATATTTTTTTAATTTCTGTACTACATTCACATTAAGAAAATATTTATAAGTTAAAATTAATCTAAAGCGGTGTCTTCTTTAAAAAGAAACGCGAAAATATAAATCAGAGACCTACAGAGGAACCATATAACGGTCCGGATATTTTTTTAAAAATTTTCTTTCAACACCCCCCCCCCCCTCCCGGATTTGCATTTTCAGGCCCCCGGATTTTTTAAAAATATTTTACATTTATTTTTAATTTTTATGACTAATAAGGGCGATTTAAAATATTCGGTGCCCGGTCAAGTATTTAAAAAAAATAATTTTAGGCCCAGCGCGGGTATATAAAAAATTGAAATGCGGGCCGGGCTTAGGGACAGGCTTGCCGGTTTCCGATACAAATAATAGCGATATTACGTATATGGTTAATATGAGCTAAAATGACCGAACTCTGATGATTGGTAGGACAAACAAACTCTGGGAGTCCATGATTCGGGAAAAAAATGTTATTGGAAATTAGATTAAAATTTTTAAATTATTTTATTTTTTCCCTATTGGTGTTTTCTTTTTATATATTCAAAAAAGGAGAACATTTTGTTTTCCTCGACCAATTTTATTAATTTTTCCCTCCCTGAAAAGAAAATTGCTTTTAATTTTTTTTCCTCCGTATCGGCATGGGATCGATTTCCCAAAATAAGATTTCGCTTTCAATCTTTGAAAAACAATGATTGGGATTGGTCGAGCATTTTTTAAAATATCCAAAACTGTTTAGCCAAACGCTAAGAGAATTTACTTAGGTTTTCTAAGTATGAGCGCCAATTTGATGATTGAGGCAAAATTTTTTTAGAATAAAAAAACCTAGCTAATCGGGCTTCTGCAGTTTGCCAAAGTTAGGAGATGATTTACACTAATTGCTGAACTCTTATAAAAAACCCCAAAATAAACTTAATATTTTGAATTATTTTTATGGTTTTTGGTTTATGAACATTTTGCACGTATACGCGAAGATATATATTTATATTTCGGAAATAAAAAGAAGTTATTTTGGGGCTAAAGACCGTATCATCCTTTAAAAATTCGAAAATTATACATTTAAAATTAAATTTATTATAATAAAAGAAAAATATGTTTTGAAAGCACGATGAACAAAACGATATATAATACACTAATAAAATGTTATATTTTTGATATATAAACTTGTACAAAAAGAATTATAGCGGCAAGTAATGAGTATATGCAATACATGAAATAAAAATGGTTATGGAACTTAAAAAGTTTAGAAACCATTTTTTTTAAAAAAAAATATCCAGTTTTTCACCTTTCATTTAACATGATATTTGTGTTTGTGATTGAGGAGATACGTAAAAGTGTACTGTACATTAAAGTTTTAAAAATAGAAAAATATTATATTAAACCACTGTGACATGTTTATATTAAAAAATGCAAGAAAATAAATTTATTTCTCTTTGATTTTTTTTTTAATATCTTTAAAAAGATTGTAATTTAAAGGTAAAAAAAAATGTAGAAAGAGAAAAGAAAGAAAAATATTAATATAATTTCCGTGTTAAATAACTATAGATCATTTAAAAATAAAATTATGATATCTAGGCGTTGACCCTTAAGAATGAGTTAAAGTTTATATATATTTTTTTTTGTTTGCCATCTTTTTTTAAATATATTTTATTAAATTTTAAAAGTTTATTTTGTAATTGAAGTTATAATAATCAATTTGTTTAAAAGTAGCTTTGTTAAACGACTCGATTATAAAAAAACGGTTAAACCTAATATCGTATCCAAGAATATTATGCAAGCTTGGAGATATAGCTCATATAGTTAGTAGATATGTTTGGACATCTATTAACGAAATTTCGCGGCTTGTGTCTTATTTTTTTTGGCTAAAATATTGGGTTAGCCATTTAACAACACTAGTTAAAAAGTAACTTTACTATTTTTTTTAATCCCTTATCTTTTTGCAATTTTTTAGTATCAAAAAAATGAGAAAAAAAGAATATTTTATAAGGTAAAGAGTGATTTATTGCGAAAAAATAAATTCAATTTTTTTTAAAAAAGTAACCTTAAAAATAAGCATAAACAACTAACTGTATGATCTATTTTCTTTTTTATTAATTTGTACAATTTTACTTCGTAGTCAATAACTCAAAAATTCAGATAATATTATAGATTATTAAAGGAAAATTTTTTTAAAATTAATAATTAGCGTTAATTTTACCACTCTCTCCCAAACCTCGAAGCAACCCCCCCCCCCTCGGATAAATTTAAAACGTTTATTTAGCCCTAGGATTCGATCCAAGAATTTTTTTAATTTCAAAGATCCGTGTGCAGGGCAAATCGATCAATTAAAACGGCATTGACCTTTATTAAATCGTTGAAAATTTTGTCACCCCCATCCTGTGTCTAATGTCTATAAACCGTATTGAATCTTTTTAAATACCAACTGTTTTGAAGATTATTAATTATTGTCAATTTTGACTGGTCGATTTACCATCAAAGGTTTTTTTTTTATAATAGATTATTATGGGACCTCTAGTAAGCAAGCACGGAAGATGTAATCCCCTATTTTTCCCTTATTTCTTATTAAAAAATGGAAATCCAACTTAGCACCTGTCTTATTTGTTTAAATGGCTCAATTTAGCAAATTTAAAAAATTTTAGTCAAAATAATAACGGCTTAGCCGTTTAACAACTCTGCTGTTCTAGTTCTGATTGATCTTATTCCGAAATTTATATTAGAAAAAAATAGGCTTGAGCCTGATTTTTTTTTACTTATTACACTGCATCATCCATGGATTTGCGCTAACTGTGAATGCAGGGTTAGACTGTTAAGAAAAAAGTGCAAACTAGGGTAAATAACTTAATTTGAAATTTTATCGAGGTCCGAACTTCGGTAAGGTTCGAATTCGAACGAGTCCAGGAGAATGCCTGTTCACGATAAATTCCTTTTAGCGGCAAATTGTTCTCGAAGTTGAGAATAAATTAGTTAAACGATTTACAACTTAAAAAACCATTTAGTTATTGTACAAAAAAAATAAAAAAGGCTTTGTGCATAATAATTTTTAAATCCATTGTCGGGCCGGATCTAGACTACATTTATTTTTTTATTTTTAGTTAGTGTCTGCGAATTATTTTATAGACTAGTAATCTTTATGCCAGAGCCCAGCGCTCGAAAATTTCCGGCTCCGTTTTTCCCGCTCGAATATTTTATTTTAGGCCCGAAACCCAACCAGTCCTAAATTTTTAATTAATTAAATATAAATTGGACGTATTTTTTTGTAAGTTTAAAATAAAATTTTTTTTAAAAAAAAGAGAAATCTCTAATTGCTTTGTCCTGATCCCAGAGAAATTATTATTTTATTTTAATGAAAGGAAACGATAACATCATTTTTCTAATTTTTTTTAAGGCCCAAGTTCAACTGGACTCTGGGCCGATTTGCTGGATTCTAATTTTTATCCATATTTTAATACGACCAGTTTTTATTAAAAATTTATTGTAATTATTTTATTTACTCAAAAAAGGGTGGATTCGCAAAATGTTTTAAATTCACAGAAGTTACGACAAACATCAATTTTGCCGCAAAAATGATATGCAAATCTCAATTAGTGAAAATTTCCCATAAAGAACAAGTGAGATGATAGATTATCATAATGTTATAAATTAGTTTTATTCAGACTTTGGTAAAAAAAAATAAATTTTTGAGCATTTTTTTTGAAGAACAAAGATTTTTGGATCAAATTTTTACCTAAAAATGCCAAAATCTTTTGTAATTTTCATGCATAAATAATCTTACAAGATGAAATTAAAAAAATTTTTTTTTTCAAACTCATTTTATTTTAAACACTTTTTTTACTTCTATTTGCGATTAATGATTAATTTCGCACCATAAAAGTAACTTATATATTTTTTTTCAGGTTAAGCGGGAAATCGAAATTCACAGACCACTTTTTCACCCTAACATTGTTCATTTACAAAGCCATTTTGAGGATGATTTTTACATGTATATCATCTTGGAATACTGTGATAATAAAGTATGCTATTCTTTGAATTTCATTTTTTTTTTCCAATTTATCGTTACTTATGATAGAATAAAACGAGTTATCAAATTATCACCTTCTTAATTAAAATTTAAGCGACGGCAGTCATAACCCAAAATTTAGTCTGAGAGGAAGGGATATAAATGATCTCGAAGAAAGGCTGTTCTACGGCGTATCTTAGTTAAAATTTGCCAAAGGGCGGCACACAAAAAATCGCAAAAAAAAGTGGGCGAATTAATAAGAATGATCATTAAAAAAAAATTAAATTATATTAGTATATTTATGATATGGAGACTAGAATCATATGATACAATCTCTAAGTGTAAAAACATATCTCTTATTGCGTTGCGACAAATATTTTACCTCCCAAGACAATGTTAAAGTCTTGAATATGTTATTTTTATTTAAAAAAAAATGTTATGCATGCTTAGCATTTTCAAGAACTTTTATATTTTATATAATATTTATAAAGTTATAAGAAAATATCTTAAGTGTTTGTTAACATGACATCTTATATATTTTTAAAACTCATTTTATATTACGGAATTTTTTTTTTTTTATAATAAATTACATAACATTATTTTGCATTAATTAAAAGATACATTTATATTATAATATTTATAAATTAATGTATATAGTGAGGAAAAAAGGATTTAATCATTGTTTTACAAATATTATAATGTATTAATTATGTTCCATGTTTTCATGCCTAAAAGTTGGTAGATTTGATAATTCGTTTTGCCTTTTTAAATGAAAGTCTTTTATTTTACAAAATATATAACATTTTTCGATTTAAAATAAACAAAATAAAATCGAGATAAAAAAAATATAGGTTAATGGTAATTTTTTTTCTGATTTTAATCGACAAATTAATACAAACGAAATGTATAAAAAAAGACTACATAATTATCCGTTATCTCTCTCTTTTTTTACTTTATTGATCATCAAAAATATTAAGATAGTCGAAGTGTTGAAAAGGAATCAAATTTTTATGAATATCAATCATTTTACCGTTAATGACATTGATTACATTCATCTTTTAGATATTTTAAAATATATCTCTATATTTGTATATTGTAAATATAAGAAGAAGAAAAAATAATAAAATATTGCATGGAAAATCCTGTTTATTTGAACCAGCATTAAAATATAAATTTTGGCTCGAGTAAGTTATTGGTTTAGTTTAGTTTGTTTGGCATAAATAATGTCATTAAATAGATCGATTTTTAAAAACAGCTAACCCAATATTTTAACCAGAAAATGTTATACCCTCGAGATTTTGTTAAATGATGTCCAAACCTTTCTGTCATCTATGAACCAAATCTCCAGGCTTGCGTAATATTTTTGGCTAAAATATTGGGTTAGCCTTTTTTCATAAACCACATTTCTCAATCCAGTCAAATATCATATTTTGTATTTATGTATTTTGTCCAATTATGAATATAAAATGTATTTTTCGAAACTACTATAATAGGATATATATATTATAAAAGGACATTGTGACTAAATTTCAATTTTAAAACCGAAAATTGATTTTTGTTAATTAAAAAAAATAAAATAATTTCATTAAGAATAGTTGATAAGAAGTGCCGATATCACAATTGTAGAAAAGTATTAGGGGAAAAATTTTTTAAAACGAATATTCCATCAGAATAAATTCGAATTATTCGTAATCGAATATTCGAAGAACGAAATGAATATTTCATTCCCCAATTTAGCTGTCTCAGAAACAATAACCCTGTCTGACAATTAAACTGCATTGTCTAAGCATTTTATACATTTTACTAAATAAAACTTGGGTATTATATATTATTTTTTACAACATTCTACCCTCTTAAAGAGAAGACTCAAATAAATGTTATATTTTTTTTTATACTCCCTTTTTTAAAATCGCAGACTCTGGTCGATCTAATTAAAGATAATGGTACTTTGTCGGAAGAAGAAACGAGATTTTTTATGAAGCAAATTCTTGGCGCTGTTTTATATCTCCACAATATCAAAATATTACACCGCGATCTTAAACTTGGTAACATGTTTTTAACTAAGCGATTCATCCTGAAAGTCGGAGACTTTGGACTTTCTTCCAAATTAGAAGAGACCAACAAAAAAGTGTAAGTGAAAAGTATAATAATGAATGCGTTTTATTTTTATTAATTATATTTTGTATATTATATATCATTTAGATCCATCTGCGGGACACCCAATTATATCGCTCCTGAAATATTATCCAAAACGGGACATAGCTTTCCAGCTGATATATGGGCAATTGGTTGCATAATGTAAGTTTAATTATTTACGAACGGTTCATTAGAAAAATATATATGATATAATAACTCCACTCATATTTTACATGCATTTTTTATAAAAAATTATGAATAACCTATAATTAAAAAATTATATAATCAAAATCAATATATGAATTTTTCGATATGTAGTTCAGAATTCTAAACTTTAACCTTGGTACTCAATTACATAAGGATTTTTTTTTTCTTATTGAAATTTATTTTTTTAAAAAAATTAATTTATGCATATCATTAAGAAGAGAATATTGAAGTATTTATTTTAATAAATACCATATTCGATTTATATAAAAGAATTCTTTAATTATAAAAGCCAAAATTTATGCAAATCAATCAGATGGTTATTTCGCAGCGGGAACGTTGTAATATCACCACGTTTACATTTTTGTATTTCTTCTCATATTCGCGTTCGCCTATTAAATTAAACCAATAATTGAACTCTTATATATTTTATTAATTTATATTTATTTTTTAAAAAAAAATATTATATTATCTCATTTAAGTTTTATAAAGGGAAAAAAAACCTATACTACTAATGAAATTGCGAAAAGCTAATATAAGAAATATATAAATCGAAATATTTGTCGGCGATTATTTTATTATATAAAAAGAATATCGATGATATAGGGAGAGGAAAGATATGTTAATTTCTTTTATTAAAGTTTTTTTTCTCCTTCTACCAACCATACTTTTATGAAAAAGCGGTCGGTTGGACGTGTTAATTTTCTCCATTTCTTCTTTTTTTTCCACCTCGGTACATTACTTACATATAATACTATCAAAAAGTAGTAATAAATTTTCTTAATAATGCGATGAAATCGATTCGACCACTATGCGGCTTTATTAAAAGAAGCTCCAATTTATCATAATAATAGAAATTAAGGGGATATGCAGAGATTAATTTTTGTTAAAACCCGGACCGGATTGAATTTCAAACCCTGCTCGAATTTTACTTCTAAAAAATGGCAGTATTTTTAAAATGTTGTCATTTTAAATATTTTTGACCAGGGGTCGGAAAAATTGTTTTAAAAATGGAAATTTGAGCTAGCGGATTAATTTGAATTTTTATCATATGTCATATAATTAATGTAATTTAAATTTATTTTTAAGGAAATTGGCCTGGCCCAGGTTTTGTAAAAAAAATATATTTCACGACCGCTTTGTAAATATATTTTTTTTAGCCCGACATGGCCTCGACTTTTAAAATATTCATTTTAGGACCCAATCCAGGCCGAGCCCTTAGAAGTCAATATTTAGTCGACCGAGCCCTTAGAAGTCAATATTTCGTCGAAAAATAATTTATAGAAGAAAAAGGGGCACTTTTTGTTTTTGTCAATTTATTTTTATATTATTATAAGTTTAAGGTTTTTAATTATTTAACACTTTTGTTTCTAAATAATTTTTATCTTTCTTTGTTTTTAGAAAGAAACAATTTTATATTTATCCACTAGGTAAATGCATTAAAATATAATTATATTTAAAAAGTAAAACCTCCACAAACCGCATACACAAATATTCCCTTCTTCTTTTAAAAAATCACGTAGAGATTTTTATTATTGTAAAAAAAGAAAAATTTTAGTATAATTTAAGCCTTTATATTTTTGCGATAAAAATTAATTTTTTATATTTATTAGTTGGTATTACCTTTTAAAAATAAAATTTTAATTTTTTTCATTGATAAATCTTACATTCATTCTATTCACAATTAAAATATCCTTTGGCTAAAATTATAATCATAATATTATATATATTTATAAATTTAATTTTGTATATTAAAACCAAAACGTTCTTTCTCATCAAGATTGACTTTACTATTTACTATCTTTTTATAACCTTTTTTTTAAAAAAAACTACGATTTATTGTAATCATCACTAGGAAAGTTCATATAGAAAACTGTTATAATGTGGAAGATGTAAAGAACTAAAATCAAATTTTAAGTTTTTAACCCGTTTTAAAAACCACAGAAAAAAGGGTAATTTTTTTTTAAAAATAGAGTCAATATTTATTTTTCTCTGTCTCCTCTTTTGTTGCATATGTTATAAAAATGACGATATAAATATTAAGATAAGCATAAGATATGTAAAAAAAATATTTGAATATAATTTTAAATGTGTAATAAGTTCTTTACAAAAAAAAATGGTGGTATTTTTTATTGAATCAATAAACGACCAAAAGATCATAAATACATAAAGTTGATTTGATGGGATTGGTATGTTTGATGTGGTAGAGTAATTATAAAAAAAATGAATATTAAAAAAAAATATCCAGTGCGACATTATATATTTTATTCTTCTTTTTCTATGTATATTAGGACACGACGTTATAAACTTTATCTTTAAATCGCCATCTGTGATAAACTTTTTTTTAAAATATAAAATATTATTTATATCGTAAAATTAAATATTTTAAAATCATTTACAATAAAAAAAATTTATAAAGGGAGGTATCAAACTAATTTATTTTATTTTCTTATAAGATGGTAACGATAAATAATAATCTTGAAACAATTTCGGGGAATTTATTATCCATTTATAAACGTTATTATTTATAATTCATTATATATTTGAGGTAAGATAAGATAAGGAACTTAGGAATGGACACATTGTTAAATATGGGAACCGTAAAATTTTTACTACCTTAAGTACAAAAAAAAGCTTAAAATCATAATATGCATAAATTATTTTAAAGGGGGGGGGGAGGAGGTGTTAAATTTTGCGTAGTTTCGCCAAAAAAAATAGTATTAAAATCTCTCACCCCTTTATATATATATTGATGAATTAGCTCTAGCACAAGTGTTTTTTTTTACTAGTATGTATTTCAATTTTTTATTTCTTCAAAATTCGCGACAAAGTCATATTTTTATGGTGGTACATCGTTAAGATAATATAATTTCTTAATGTTTTAATTTATAAAATGGCAGGTGCTTTGTACTGTGTATGCTATAAAGTTTAATGGTCCTTTTGTTTAAGTCTATGTTATTTATTTTATGTATGATGATCAAATTAATTGATAGTCAATTTGAATAATTAATTTTTTTTCCCCGACTTAATTTTACTACTTATAATATACAATATAATTAATGAATTTATATCAAATCTTAATATCTTCACAAACTTAAACATTGGTGGTATTCACTTACAGTATCAATTTGATTTGTTGTAAAACATTTCCATATATTTATAACAACTTTTTTAACAAATTGTTTAACTTATCAATTTGCTATTTTTGCTCGAATAACAAATCCTACCCACACTGTATTTTATAGAATAAATGCTAATTTGGCCATAACTATCTAAATTATAAATGATTATTAAAGTAAACCACTCCATATTTAACATAGCATTACTTCTTAAAATGTGTAATATGGTTCTAAAAAGTGGAAGTGAAATTTTTTTTTGGATCAATGCCACAAGACATTGTATAGATAAATATATATTTTTTTAACGTATTCCTCAAAAATTTTAGGTTCGCAATGCTGAGCGGAAAGCCACCTTTCGAATCCGAAAGCCTGCGGGAAACGTATCATAGAATCTCGAAAAATATTTATAAGATACCTCACCATCTATCCCCCGAAGCCAAAGATCTTATCGCCAAATTTCTAATTGCTCAACCACACCTACGCATCGATCTGTGCGCCGCCATAGATCACCCTTATTTTATGGAAAACCTTCACGAGAGACGACACCTTTTAGAGTAATTATAACTTTAATTTTTCAAATTAGGCGAAGAGGGGGGTTGTTCTTACGTTTAAAATTTGATCCGGGTTCGAGTTTCGGTTACCAACTCAGTTTTTTAAACTTTTTAAAATTAAACAATCTATATTGACCGCGAAGAAAAAGTAAGGCTTCCGTTCATTCCCCTTTACAAAACGCCAAGAAGCATAGCGCACCTGAGATGATATCCTGCGTACTGGTTAAAAAGCGTACGCCAACTAATAAAATAAGTCACCTCAAACGTTACAGCTTGGCTTGCCCAGCTTCGAACCAATCAACTCACGTAAATGAGCTGGGACAGCGCCATTTATTGGATATTTCCATCGATTTTAAGGATAGGTTTATAATGTTCTTTTTGTGGTTTTTTAAAAAAAATAAATAAAATGTTTCAAATTTCCTTATTCGGATATTATATTTGTCCTAAATTGTTTAAAACGTGACAATAATAAAAATAGCAAACCCTGAATTTTAATTTGACTAAATCCTAAATTTTGATCCATCATATTAAATTATATAGTTATTTGGGGAAATTTTAATTTTAATTCGTATCAAATTACAAATTAACAAAATAATTAAAATATGAACTATATTATGTTTTATTTTACTATCGATCGCAAATTATTTACATTATATACAATATTGACTTCTTTTTTTTTCATTTGCAATAAATAAAATATTATAGCGATAAACTTGACCCAAATCAAGGAAAACCAATAAAAGTATGCGCAAACACAATTATGTATTATTCTATCATATTTATACTAAGAAACTTTATATATAAAAAGAAAAATGGTTGAAATGTTAAAATTATGACCCCAACTCAAGGGGAATTGCTGTTACAACAGCTGATTTGTTAAAATTTTTATTCGTATATTTGTAATCACGTGGCCTGTCAGGTATGACAGGTTATAAATAAGAACGTTTAAATTTTATTAAAAAGAACCAATCTAAGCCCTAACCTCAAATCTTTAAATAACCATAACCAACATATCTCTAACCCTTAATTCTACTCCTTAATTCAGATACTAAATATATTTCACCCAATCAAAAAATTTCCCTCTGTTGAAAATTCCCTGATTTCTTTAACCTTTTTGGCTATTTAGTAATAAGTCCCCCTAAGACACGACTTTAAGCCTTTTAAGATTATTAATACAAAAAATTTTAGAACTTTACAAGTTTTATTTTTTATGGCTATTCCAAATATTATTCTGATTCAATATTAACGTTGTATTCAATTTTTTTTATAAGTCGTTTCAATATATAGGATCAAATAGGCCAATTAAAGAGTATCGTTCTATACCCAATATTTTAATATTAAATAATCTCCAAATAAATATCTAAAAATTATATTGATATTAATATATATATGTTGTAATAACATGTTAAATAGCGTCCCGCGAGACCAGTGTCTACCATATTCATGGGAGATAACCAAATAAATAAAAATCGCGGGAAAAACGACGTGGTCAATAACGACAACCAATATATTGACAACTCTAACCCTCATCCTTACCCTTTGAAAAAGCTTTTCAAACCCTTCGAACCGAAAAGGATTAAAGGTAAATTTATGCGCTGGGTTGATAAGGTCAAAACTTTCAAAAGCAATGCTGAGACCGATTTGATCAAATCCGCCAAACCCCAAAAATCAGCTTCGTACAGAGTTTTCCTTGCCAATGAAACAAGTACAACATTATAAAGAGCTAATGCATAAACTCTTATCCCGTTTTTATTGATTTGTTTAGAGAGAAAAAAATTTTCTAGTTAAGGTCGACTGGACGGATTAACTAAATATCCAGACTGATTTTTGCGGACAAAATTTATATATTTTGTTTTTAAAAATCCGATATCTGATGTGAACATAAGAAATATGATAAAAATTGAAATTATTTTTCAGTAATAAAGATTTTAATTATCCGTAAAAGGTGGCCAAGATATAAGATCAAGATCTCGTTCCATACTCATTCCCCAACAAGTCAAGACTTCGATTGAACCCTCTCTTGGTCTAAACATTAAGAAACGATTTTCTTGCGTATTGAACGGCGATAAATATTTATTTAATAACGATAAAACCGACTTCAAATCGACTCTCGGTGGTTTTCACGATCTGGATCATGACGCTGGCCCCTCCCAGAACGAGGAGTTTCATGCCGAAAACGATTACGATGCCATATTTTCTAAAATTGCTATTAAAAATAAGCGTATAGGCAATGGCAGAAAACCTCTTTACTTTGCTTCCAAGGAATCGATTACAGGCAATCATAGACCGGCCAAAAAGGCTCAATCTCTCATAAAATTAACCGATAAAATTAGCAGCGATTTGTCCAGTTCTCCTCTTCCCTCGTCGTTCGAAGAAAAACTTTGCTACGATCGTCTAAAATGCGGTGCTAGGCGGGCATGTAACAATAAGGAAGACTCTGGCAACAGCAGTAGCGGTATAGAGTGCCACTCCCCTTCATCGGGCTCTAATAGTCAGAAAGACAAGCTGGCCGAAATATTGCTGGTCAGTCACGAGGATAATGTAGACAAATATCCCCCCTTTAACCGTGACTCCAAAAAAAAAGGAAATGTAATGGAGACGCGTAAAGAAGTCTTATCGGTGTTGGCCAAAAAAAGGAACTCAGAAAGCGAAGCCGCTCGTATTTTAAACAGGCTACGGAGCTCGGTCGAGAAATTGATTGATCAATGCGAAAGATCCATCTTGGAGATGAATAGACTCTCTTGCTCTTCCTATCTTAACTCGAAAACTTTCGATGCTCAAATCAAAGAAAGTTGTAATAAGCAATCTCACGATATATCCTTCGAAAATATCCTAGGTTTTTAATATTTTATTTTACATTAAAGTTTGGCCTAAAAAAACAATATATATGCTTGTTGAGTTGTAAAAAAAATTATCAATAATAAAAATTATAAAAGCTTGGATCACGTTTTTATGACTATGCCAACTAGAGCTACGTAGACACAACCGATCGAACTTGGGTCGACGCGGTTCGGACTTTGATTTTAAAAATTTAATTCAGGCGAGACTCGTATCTCAACAAAATTTTAAAATATTTTGATTTCCTATTTTTTTTTTTTGAAATATAATCTGGACATATTTAAAATACCATTTTTAATTGGACACGAATCTTCGGAAAAAAATATTATCACTCGGATTGGATTGGCCGGATAATTTTTTTTCTTCCCAAATCTGGCCGGATTTGAAAAATAGGTCTGACACAGGAACACTCTAATAATCCGAAATATGTAATGAACATCGTTTACTTTTCCCGTCTACATATTACTTAAATAATAATATATAATAAATTCTTTTATATTTAGATGTATCATTATGCAATAAACTGAACAAAAATGCTCAATTAATTGATTCTCCATTTGTGTGGGTTACTAAATGGGTAGACTACGCCGAAAAATATGGTTTTGGCTATCAATTATCAAACGGCTCACAAGGTGTTTTATTCAAGGACGACGAACGAATTTATGTCGAAGGCCAAAGGTTACACTTTCTAACTTGATTTACTTGTGATAAACATCTGTGCCACCTTTGAGCGACATTTTCATGATTTCTATATAACATTGATATAAGATTTTTAAAAAAATAAGGATTTGAACAAACATATTAGAAATTTGATATTATAAATATTTTTATCTAGTCGGCTCAGCCTGGGTATTTTATTCGGTTATTCTTTCCGACAAGTCGGTTTCAAAAAATTAATTTACCGGGGTCACTAAAGTGAATTATCCCGGGCCAGCAGTTCTCGGATATTGAAAAATTATTTGGTCTTCAATGCGCAAATCATATATGTATTCTACCTAAAAAATAAATCGAAAATTAAAGATTATCATTATACGACAACTCAAACGTGCTAAGACTCGCCATGCCATTAAATGACGCTATAAAGGTTGGACAAGCCAGCAATATAAATCATGCCAAAAATCAATTTGCTAATAAGGCCCACGATAAATTGTGCATATACTCTCATTTCGCCAGTTTCATGGAAAGAAATCTCATAGATGGAATGGATTACGTCGCCCTAAAATCATCCATGACAGATGAATCGTCACGTTTTGTTACTCTAAAAAAATTTAGTGGTATTCAAAACCGATCTCATGGACACAAAAACCGAGAAAGGTATAGAATTTTCTTTTTTTTTGTACTTAAAATGAATTTCGACAAAATAAATCAAAAACGTCTAATTTTTTAATATAATTGTGTTATAAATTTTAGATAATTTTTTGAACGCTTTGTTTTTAAAAATCTAATTTTACCAGATACCCATTTCAGACAATATTGCCGTTAACTTTTAAATCATTTATTATTAAAAAAATCTATTATAAAAACGAATATAAATTATATTAAGTTCAAAAATTTATGACAAAATTTTTAATAAATCACAGATTAGGTTTTTTTCGCATGTCGGATTACATTTCCAGCAAAATAAGATTTTTTTTAATTAAAAAAACGCACTCAAATAAAGGATTAAGAGCTGAAAAAGTAACATATTGATTGAAAGAACAACATTGACGCGCATAATTATTTATTTATTTAAAAACTAGAATAAAATCGAATTTATTGTATTTTTAAATTCGTAAGGTAAATTAAATTTACTTTTAAATATTTAACCCAAAAAGAATGATTCTAAAACTGCGCTTTTTTTTAAAAAAAAATTATTTTTCCCAGTCCTAATATGACCTGTTTTTCTTTCTAAACAAATTTTAGGTATCAAACTTTGCTCATGCGCTTGAACGACGGCACTACTCAGATAAATTTCTTGAACGATCACGTGAAAATAATATTTGGCGTGAATAAATATGAAACGAATCCTTTGGCCCACCCCAGCCATTCTCTTTATCGAACTTGGGCCATTTTTATCGATTTAAATCGCAATCATTACGCTTTCGACAATTTGGACGCTATAAAAATTTTGAAAAAGATCGGGAGTAAACCCAGGGACCGTAGCAATACGTTGAATAGCTTAGTTTGTCTGAAGGGGAAGCTGGAAGTCGCCTTGTTTGAATTGAAAGAAGAGATAACCGCTCGACAGGAAACAAAATAACGATCCCAACAACGCCTTCTAAAAACATTATCTACCTCTTTTACTACCCTATTTTAAATGATTATAAACACGTGCATTTTAATATAATCATTTTTTTAGTTAATTAAAAAGGAATTACTCATTTTTAGCATCCAAAATAAAGCTTACAAATGCCTAATTTTCGCCAAACGACCAATTTTTTAAAAATAAGGAGTATTTATGATAACCCTGCATTCATAGTTGGCGCGGATTCCCGGCGAAGTATATAAAAATCGTATAATTCGCCATGAATTCGGGCTAAATGTGAATAAGCGATAAGGCAGCATTTAAATTTAACATCTTTTAATCGAATAATAATAATTTATTTTTTTATTTAAAACAATTAAAAAACCAATTTTGATTCGTAATTTTGTTTATATAAAAACAATTAAAAAATATTGATAGTATTATTAACATGGTAACAAATCGTTACAAATTATATTATTAAAATCTTATTGTTACCCTTTATAAATCTTTTTTTTTAAAAATATATATATATAATTGAATCAAAAATTGTTTTTGAAAAGATTAGCTTGCTCATATGCATGGCTTAGAAGAATAAATTATTATAATTATTAATAATAAAGAAATTTTTATAATTTATGAACCCGTGTTTTTGTTGTAGGCCAGATACGGTTAGTGTTGTTAAATGGTTTGATTTAGCCAATATGCAAGCCTCAAAATTTTTAGGGCTGTAAATCCTCCTTCTAAAAAAAGGGGGTTCATGTTCAGTGAAATATCTCTGAACCAGAAAGTATACTTTGTATTAATCTTGATTTAAAATAAAAGATTATTTGATTTATTCTCGCATTGATTTGATTTTTGGATAAAAGTAAATTTGTATGGGAATAAGAAGACAACTTCGCAATAAGAACATAAGCTATAGCATGATATCTTCCAAAATCGAGATGTTATAATTTAAATATCGATTTTTTATCCCTAACTTTGACAGTGCATCGCAACTTGCATTTAAAGCGAATTCGTGATTAAGTTCTTTTCTTTGATTATACTCTTAATTTTATAATTCAACAAACAAAAATAAATATATTATTATATTATTCAGTATCTTTCCTTTAACCCTAAATTTAAAAAAGGGCTTGTAAAATATTGAGGGGTTCAAAAGGGTTCAGGTTCACCGCTATAGAAATTTTGTTAATGTCTAAACCTTACTGACGTGAGCAAAATGTCTAGATTGCGTAATATTTTTTTGACTAAAATATTGGGTTTTGCTATTTTTCCAAAATCGAGCTCGTTTAACCACTAAGTTATGATTATTATCTAAATTTAATTAAAAATTATACGAAATTATATCACTTTTACTAAATAAATATCACTTTTTATTAAATAAACATCATTTTTCTTTGGTGAGCACAGTTAAAATAAATTATAATATTTCAGCATGATGAGTTTGTAGGGGAGGAACAAATTAAATACGATAAAAAAATATAGGAAATTAATGAATTATTGAAGCATGGGAATGTTTGGTTAATGTAATATAAAAATACATGTACAAAAAAAAGATATAAATTTGGAACACTGGTAATATAAAAAATGACTCAAAATAATTAGCAGCTATGCCCAAAAAAATTAGCAGCTATTCCCAAAATAATGCATGCCTATACGAACATCCACTAAAAATGTAGATTCTTTGGGAAAATAAATTATCACAATCTTTGTAAGTGCAAAATATAAATGGAAGGCATATTTGATCATTATCACACGCAAACCTAACGATCATTCGCTAGATTGTCTTTTGGTTCTTTAAAAAAGGGATGGCAAGTTGAAAATGAATCAAAGTTTATCTTTATCACGACGTGCTCTTCCCTTTGATCGTGTCCGCATTATTGCTACGCGTGAGAATGTCTAAACTTTTGGACCCGTTGTTATTATAAGGGCTCCGAGTGAACTCGTTGCAAATTAAGGGACTAGTCAATGCGTCGTGGCACGCGGCGGATTTTGCGTCGCGGACAACAACGACGAGATTGGATTCGAGAAGTTGATGTTCCAAAATGGAGAGGCAGGTTTTAAGAGAATTGAACGTGGCGCAGCCGGTGGCTTTGAGCAACAATAAATCGGGATCGAGTGGGCCTAATAATGAGCATTGGTCACGATATGCATCATCCGCGGGCTCGGGCGAATTGAGCGGAGTATCATTGCTTGGAGATTGAGTAAGAGCGGCGCTTTTATAAGACGCTTTATCGAAAGAGATAGGTTTCGGTAAGGTCTTAAAAATGAAATATCAAAAAGAGAGAAAGAAGATATTAATTACAAATTTAAAATTTGAATTAATAAGAATAATAAAAGAAGTGGCAAAATTTTATTTTTTTTATACTTCTATCATATACTTGATATCTTTGTAATGCTTTTCGGTGCAGCGCAATACTTCCTTTACAGCTTTGAATTGATTATTTGAAGTTGTTTTCCTTTTTTTTTCAAATGACATTTAGATTTAAATTACGATGGTAAATATAAGGAGCCAATAATTCGTGGTAGACATTAGCAGACAATGGATCGGGAACTATATAGATTCAAATAACAATAACGGTTTGTTATTGAACCTTTTCACATACAAACGCATTAAAGAGATATATATGTTAAGAGAAGTGCATATTTTTTTATTTTATCATTCTCTAAAAGAATAAAGAATTTCCAAGATTTTTATTAGTCACATAATATTTTATGGAGAAAATAAATTAAATCGTTGGGATCATTTATATTTGCCAACTTGTGTTGTAGGTACCATTAAAATAGCAATATACAGGGTCAGATGAAATTTTTTGTTAACAGTACAGATTCGGGATGTTGGCAAGGATTTCTAATCACGGAGGTTATGCCATTTTGCATCATAAAAATAAATGGTCTAAAGAGATCTGGATATCGGTTTGGTCTGACAATCAAAAAACTAACATGAAGTGAGCAAAAATAATCCATAAGTAAAGCCGATTCTCTGAAAATATAAACAGATCTGCAACATGGCCTATCTCTAGCCTGTCTTAAAAATAATTTCGAACCGGCCGAGTCGGGCTTAAATTTATAAATATATGATATCATTACATTTTGTTAAATAAATTGATATATTTTAAAATTCTTACAAGAAACAAGGCGCTAATTATTTTTATTTGTAGAATATTTTATATTTTTTTTTGGTTACAATCAAAATATTTCTTAAATATATATTCGGGCCGGGACGACAAATAATTTTTATTTTGGGACAAGCTTTTCGGGACAAATGAAAAAAATTTCATTCGGGATCGGGTCGGGCAGGTCAAATTTTTTTAAAAAAATTAGGCCCGAAGCAGATCACTATTATTACAAGGGTTTTCTTTGTGTTTTCACATTCAGAGATTCAAACCGAACCCTAACGTTAAAAAAATGTATAACATAAACCTCTAAAAATAAAGGTTTGTAACGGATTCGAAAAAATTTCGACATAATACGAATTGTTTTAAAGATTATTATGTATCAATTTTAATTTTATAAATAGTTGACATTTTTAGATATTTTCGTATATCCCTACTTGCAGATGCCAGCAGTTTTTCAAGTTGGGTTAGAATAATAGGCGTATCTAAGAGAAGGTGCTGGGAGGCTTCTCCCATTGGAAGCATTTGCCTATTTTCGTAAATATCATTTAAGCATCCCATTATATGCATCCCTTTTCCCCAAAATATATTTACTAATATACCACTCAGTTAGGTCGTGTCCTAAATAGGCTTAATTTGGAAACTTAATTGCTTTTTATTATAAGCTAAAAAGGATTTGATCGAGAACACCCCATTTTAGTTGATTTTAAGTATTTGGTTGCATTACTATCTTTCGTATTTTATTCTTGTTTTTTTGGTTATGTTATTTTTCTTAATTTTGTTTTATAAAAAAAAAATTCTCTTACTTTTTTTTAGCTATTGAGACAATACTTAAAAGATGGCTAAATAGACGGCTATAAAGTATTAAGCCGACCTTGAACATAGCCTTAATACTTTTTTAAAAGTAATGAATATAATTCTAAACTTTTCAGAAAAAGCATTGGGAAATGATATATGACATTAATCGGCATTTAGCTTTTTGCTAAACAACGACAAAAATTTATTGAAATGCAATATGAACTATTTATTTTTTAATATTTATATTATTAACGTAATCACGTGGTAGAGTCGAGTCAACTATATATCACCCCCCCCCCCCCACGGAACCACCTAGTTAGCTTTAGAAAAAAATCATGGTCCTTGTTAGATTCGAACCCAGAACTATCGGATTGTGATAGACGCACTGAACCGATTAGGCCATAGACGCTAATCGAAAATATCAAATTATTTTTTTCGTATATAAGGATATTACAACTTTATCCAATATTTATATAAAACACATAAAAAATCAATAAAGTACCCAAAAGTCCCAAGCTTTATTTTAGGCTTAAAGTAAGTGTACCTAAAACTATCCAATAAAAATGTATGATGAAAAAAAACACATCAAATAGTGCTTCTTCCTATAATAAAATCTTATAAAACTATGTCGCGCAATAGATTCTCATCTCACTATTGATTTTATTTTTTTTCTTCCTTATAGATATTTTGAAGGAATAAGAATCTCGAAAATATTTTAATCATACGTATCAATAGTACTTTTAACTTTTAAAGGAAACCAATTAGTGTTGCTAAACGGCTCAATTTTTTAAAACGACTAACCTAATATTTTAGCCAAGAATATTACGCGAACCTCCAGATTTTGTTAAGAGATGTCTAAACCTTTCTGCCATCTAAGAGCAAAATCTCCAGGCTTGCGTTATATTTTTTTGGTGAAATATTGGGTTATCCGTTTTTACATATTGGAGCAGTTTAACAACATCAAAACTAATTATTTAAATTATAGTTAATAAATACCAACTAATTGTCATAATGTACATATTAGGCATATTTATAATGGCAAATAATAAAATTGCCTTTCTGTATATAATTCTAATGAGTTTATGCAAAACGATTAGACCACGTTTTAAAAAAGGCTCAACCATCCGATATTCGTTAAGGTTTAACAAAATCTGACCAAATCCGTTCGACCCGTGAGTTGGATGGAGGAATCGTAAATTTTTTTTTATTTTTGATAATGTATGGGTTAAGAATAGTAAAATTTGGTGGGTCGGGCTTGGTGAAAATTTTTTTCTTCCTTGCGGAGCTTTAGTCCGGATCCCCTTACATTATAAACAAGAACAAAAAAACATATTGAATATGTTTTGTCTTGTTTTTTTTTCCCAATTCGAAACATCATATACTGTCAATATATCACTATTTTTACAGCTGATTAAATCCATTTAAAAAAACAACTCAAGTTCTCTCTATATTTTTTTTGTTTCAAGTTTGCAGACCTAGCCCGGATAATAATATGACTTTAAAAATCCGGGTAGAACTGAAATTCGGGACGGATCGATTAATTTTTTTAAAATATCAATTAACCAGGGGAAAAATCTTATATTTGAGTCGATATTCATTTACTCCCCCATATTTTCAATTTTCCAGTCGAAACGATTCGTAAAAATTATTTCAAAATAACAAAATTTCTAAAGTTCTAAGCTGGGCCGAACGAAAAATGATTCAAAATAAAAACCTGGACAGGGAAAATTTTGCCCTCTGCATGTAGTTTCTTATAGTTGGATGTATAAGAGGATCTGAAGGTAGGTTGTTTAAAAACTTGTATATTCTATTTCCAAAAAAAGGAAGAGGCTAATCATTAGGTAATATATTTAAAAGCATAAAAAGGATTTAATAGATTTCTTATATATTTTTTTAAAAAAAATCTATGTGTAATTACTTAGAACATATTTTATATAACATATTATATTGTGCAATTATTTATATTTCAGAAAAAAAAATAATGTTAACGGAATATTATTTCTTTAAGAGCCAGGGCAGGGCTTTATAAAAATGAAGGAAATAAGAATTTTGGGATTTTGCTTTAGGTAGTTTCCATGTCAATTCGGCTTGGTGTCGACTCAGCACGGCGACGCGCAGAAATTTATTAGTATAAAACAAAAGGATGATTAAATAAAAGTCATTATGAATGTTGCCTATTAATTATGTTTTCATATTTATTTTTTTTACAAAAATCACAATTTTATTTACTAAATGTCTAATATCAATAAAATCTTAATAATATCAATAAAATTTTAATAATATCAAAAAAAAAATATTAACAAACCAATATTTATACCGATTTCTTTGGTGGACCAATTTGCCATATTATAAGATATGTTGATCTATAAAAAAATCAAATTATTTAAACCAGAGTTTCGAACCGTTAAGTATAGCGGTCCCGTTCGTTTTGATTTTTAGTTTAAAATTTTATAAAGATTTTGTTCAATTTCCGTTTTTTTAAAGAATATCATTTAGGTTCGGTTCTGTTTAGAATTTATAACTGTTCTTTTCGGTTCGTTCCACTCTTAAATAAAAATCTTTTTGATTTATATTTTTATAATTTAACCATGAAAATTATTTCTTATCTAATTAACTAGTAATTTGCCTAATCTCTATTATATTGAGTATATAAAGTAATAACAATAAACTTGGTATTTATTGATAAGAAGATAATAGCTAAATATAAATTTTTTTTAATTTGATAAGAAATCACGAATTTAAATTGCCCACAAGGAAAATTAAATTTTCAAATTTAGGTTAATATTAAATTAATTATTTTAAAAAACTGTTGTGAATTATTTTGTTTCAAGCAGGGTTGTGCATTTGACCGGTCAAATGTGGTCAAATTCAAATATATGTTTTTTTAAGTTAATATTAACTTTATTTTGAATATAATAGTAAAATGAATCTATAATATTAATTTTTTAAATTCATTGTCATTCAATAACTAACGTGTAGCTATCTGTAGCAGACCTATTTCTTTCTAAAGAAGAAGTAGAACTAGGAATTGTTAGTCTCTTAATAGGCAGGGTGGACAAAGTTTAATCTATTAACTAGAGGTCGGAATTTGTTGTTTCTGGAAATTACTACTTTCCACATAATTTGCTATATTAAACATGCTGTTTTTGCTACTGAAATTAATTATATCACTTAAAATATTTTGGTCATCACTTCCTTGTAAAATAGCTAATTCTTGAATTATATCACATACTTCATTAATTTCACTACTAGTGAGTTCTCTTGATATTGTGGACACAAAAAATAAGCAAACATTGTGATCACATGTATTTACATCGTTTTTACCTTTTTTAAACATATTTTTAATTTATTTTTCCTTTAATTTTTTTAGAGTATTTGACCGGTCAAATACTCCTCCGGTCAATATTGACTAAATTTGACTGGTCAATTGACTGACTTGCCAACCCTGGTTTCAAGAATATTTATAACAGTTCGGTTAGCTCTTTTTAAGTTCGGTTACGGTTAAAGTTCAATTATAACGGTTCGTTCCTATTTCGCGGTTCGGTTCGAAACCCTGATTTAAAAATGATATTTATTTTTTATGATTAATAGAATAATTTTAAGGATTTTTAAGTATCAATAAAATAAGCCAGCCTTAAAGGAAAATATATTTTTAAGTCAATAATTATGTTCCAAATTAATAAAATCGCTGTATATGATCAAAAATTTCAGCCTCTACTATGAGATTTCCCTTTTTTAGTTCCTTACTTCTGAAAAATAATTTGAATTTTTTTGGATCAACATATCTTATAACAAGGTAAATTGGTCCACCAAAGAAATCTAAGAATAAATATTTGTTTTAAATTTATATATTTTTGAACCCTTTACTTTATACTAATTGCAACTGTATTAGATACGCGCCAAATTGTCGCCGCACTGAATTGACGCTAAGCCGAATTGACGTGATACCCTTTAGATAATCAACCGGATTCGGATTTCTTATTATTTTTTTGCCAATTATTTTTGGCCTTGACATATTAATATATATTTTTTTCCTCACAAGAAGGAAAACAAAAAATCGAAATTCTTTTTTAATTTCAATTTTATTGATTCAAAAAGGATTATTAATAGAGTAAAAAAAATATATAATTAATAATTAATGTTATATAAAAAGATAGATTAGTTCGAAATTAAAATTCTAAGATCTGTGCTCAGATGATTTAGTAAACTTTATATATATACTATACATTTTTACTTTTTGTAATTTATTGCAACAAAAAGAAAAATATAAAATTTCTTCTTTTCAATTTATAATCATTAAAATTAAAAGTTAACATGTTTTTAATTTATTCTTTTGAAATTAAATAGAAAAAAGACATTTAATTAATGCTATAAAATTTGGTTTTGCATTATATAATTTATTTAAAAAGGATTTAAGTTTTTTTTTAAAAAAATTGCTTTACTTTTATATTCTTAATCATTAATAAATAATAGTTAAATTTTATCCAATTATGGTTATGTAGTTTAAATCAAAAATTTATTTGTAACTACTTTAGAAAAATATAAACAATAAAAATTTATAATAAGTGAGATTCAATTTTGCAAAATATAGCTCAATTTTTTAAAATTCATATAAATTTAGGTAAAATTTATTCAAAAAATCTCCCTTCTTCAAAAAATCTTTTAAGATCTTTGCCCAAGAATTCTCATAGATGTTTTTTTTTCAAACTCTGAAAATAATTATTATATTGCGTTATTTATAAAAAAAAATTTCCCATAGTTGCAAAAAAAAATTTAAATTTTGATATTTTTATTACTTCTTTTTTTTAAGTTCCTTTGATTACAATTTGTAAATCACCCAAATTACTCGGTATAATAAAAAACAAAAAAAATTACACTTCAAAAATAATGCATATAAATTTAAATAGTTAATTTTGAAACGTAACTTATAATTGTAACTAGTTTCTTTTCCTTCGAAAATTTACTTTAATAAACTAAATATTATACCCTGGCAAAAAGAGCCTTTTTACCCCCTCCCCACCCTCAAAATATTTTTGAGGTCTTTACTCTACACTAATCTATTTTTTTTTCCTTTGAAATTATATATCAGAAACTTGCAGGTGCGTCTCATAAAATGGTTACAATTTTTCAAAACTTGGTTAGGACCAATGACATATATAATACCTAGACTGACGATTCATTCATTAAAAGTGTACATCAATGCAAATCAGCTGGAGACGTCATCTTGGTTACACTAATCATTATTAAAATTTTAAACGAGAGCCTAATTTATTCCTATATCTGATGCAAACTTTATTAAAGAGTTACCGGATCATCGAGATAATAAGGAAGCAAGTTATCAATTTAATAGCAGTTTTTAACATGAGAATAATTACTATATGTGTTACCAAAATGGCGGATCCAGCTGATTTGCTTTTAACGACGCTTAAAAATGCATTTTAATGAATGAATCGTCAGGTATTATATATGTTGGCTAGGACATAAAATTATATTTTTTTAAAAAGATACAAAGCTAGTGTTTTTTTAAATAAAAATATATATATCAATTAATCAGTTGTAGAATTACAAAATGAATCATTTAATATTCTGTTACTGTTCATATTTGTTTAAATTTATTTTTGAAACAATTTATCAAAGTAAGAAATGCTTTTCAAAAAAAAAAATCTTCAAAAATTTTGATCATTGAAGATTGTTTTTTTGAAAAGAAGATATTTTTGAGAATTGTTCAAGCAAGTTTTTTTTTAAAATCAAATTTCAAATTCTTCCATTTTGTGATTTTTAAAAGATTTTTTGCACAAAATTTTTGGAAAATAAAAAAATCATAAAAATATTCGAACTGTAACTCTGCGCTTATAGTATATGCGTTATCCTCAAACATTGCGTTCTTATTCAGTTTCAAAAGTTAATTTAAGATAAGGTTAAAATGGTGATAATTATTTTATATAATATTTAAGAAAAATCAAAATTCGCTAATATGTTTTTGAAATTTTATCATAGCGCTATCATCATAATGCTCTACATTTTTAAATTTATGCCTATTTATTGGCTTAATTTTGTAATAGCGCTGCGTTAAATAACGCAACGCTTGGACAAAACGCGTTTACTATTGTGGGGTTTAGTTACAAAAATATAGAAATATTAGAATTTAGAAAATATAATAATTTTTAGACATCATTATGGTTCCTCTTTGGGAACTCAATTATAAAATTGTATTTTAATTTATTGTAAATTGTAATCGTTTTAATCAAAATAAAAAGTAATGAAAATGATAAAATCAAAATTTTAACATCTGGGGCAGGTGATCAAAATTTTTGAAACCCCCCCTCCCCCCAAAACTAAGGGTAGTGACTGGCAAAATCAACATTTTTTTCTGAGCTCATATAGCTAGGGCTCAAATTTTTTTTTATAAAAGCATAAGATCTCAAACTCAAAATTTATTTTATACTCTATTAAATGTGTGTTATTTGAAATGGCTCGATTTAAGCCGATTTTTTTAAAAAATGGCGAACTCAGTATTTTATCCAGAAAAATAAGGCGAAATCTCGAGAATTCGTTAATAGATATCCACCCGAGCTATCTATAAACAAAATAAAGGCTTACACTATATTTTTCCTGGATTCAAGTTAGCAGCAGTTTATAAAAATTGGCTCAAATCGAGCCGTTAAACAAAAATACTCTAAATTTTAATAACTATTTGAAAAATTGAGTGGTCATTATCAATTTTATTCTATTTATAACAAGATATACAATGAAAATGTAATATTATGTCACCTGATTTTTCTTTAAATAATTTTTCTTATTTTTATTAAGATTATAATTGTGGTGATATTTCATTAGGCAAATATAAAGGAAGAATGTGAAGGAAATATAACTTAATATGTTCTTGTTCTGCATTGGGCCAATGGGACAGACCTACAAGATTCTAACACAGGGCGGGTAAAAAAAATTTTTAAATAAAATCCAGGGTGAGTTGGGTTAGAAAATTGAAAAATAATAAAATATAGAATAAGCAAATGCTTAAAAATTTGAAATAGCAGATCTGCAGGCCTGGCCCAAAGCCAGACCCAGTCCTAAGCCATGCCTGGGTACACAGGCTGTAATTAAGTTTTTTAAAATTAACCCGAGCCAGACCTAAATTTTTTTTTAAAAAATACCTGGGTCAGGACTAAAAAATTTTCTTTAAAAAATACTACAGGGCTTATTTTAAAATCAAATATTTTAAATTGCCATTATTACCTGTAAAAATTAAATAAAATATATTTTAAAAAAATCTGGACCAGGTCATGCAAATGGTACCTCTGCATGTCTTTGATATATATATTGTAAAGTCTGTAACAATCTATGGAAATATTTGAAAAGGTTTTCAGCCAAGCCAAATTAAATAAGACATGATAAAAATCAATAATTGTATTTGACCATATATCATGATTTGAATCAGTTCCTTTTTTAATATTTAACTATATTTTTTATGAGCTTTTTAACAGATAAAATTTGATTACTACTTGTTTATAGAAAAATAAACAAACTTCAGGCCCCTAAAAATATTTTGACCAAGTTGTTTAGCCCAAAAAATCTTTTTGCTCAGCCTGGGGGCCACACCCATCTTTAATACCAAGTAAATTTCAAAAGTACAAATGTAAAGAGAATAATTATATATAACTTTTTTTCAATAAGAGAAATGCTTGCATCTAACATGGGGATATTTCCAATTGATTTTGATTGAGGAGCATAATACTTTTTCATGGAAGGTGCATTTCCAGATAACAAATCAAATGAAAATAAATTGTTAATGAAATCAGAAGAAGTATTTATAATTTGTGATTTTGCTGATATTGGAGGTAAATTGGATATAGACAAATTCTTTTGATATATAATATAAATTTATTATAGATTAAGATATACAATAAATTATATAAAGACATACATGATCTAGATCAGCATTTACATGTAACTCTGCAGTAGATCTTAACCTATTAATCCATATTTGACGTTCTTTGGCATCAATGGCTAAAAAACATTGTAGTTATTTAATAAATGATTACTTTTTATCTTAAAAAATTCATTATTAGTTGCATTTATTATAAATGTATATGAATCTTCTTCACTTGGAGATATAACAGCCCCCTATTGAAACTGCTAAAGAGATAATAAAATAATAAGGTACCCCAAGATGAATTGCATTCCTAGGTTTGCATTTTTGTTTATAATTATCTTCTAACTTAAATAAATTTCATTATAATATTGAATTAATTTAAAAACTAAATAATATTCCAACATTCCAGTTATTGGATTTAAAACAAACCATCTATATTGATATCCTTTCATCAAATTTGTAAATTTTTGCAAATAGCCTTCTAAAGGTCTTCTTAAATCATCTACTTCCATTTTCTGAAATATATTTATTACAATATAATATATATAATAAACTTTTGCTTCATCCTCTACTTCTTTAATATGTTTTTTTTCGGATTCCGTCAAAGTTTTTTTGATATTTTTTAAATTATATTCCATATGTGAATACTAGTTAGGTGTAAAAATCCCGATAATATTTAAAATTCCGATAATTTAAATTGACAATATGTGGAAATATATATCATTGAAATTATCAGACCCTAGTTTACAAATTGAAGTTCTGACTCTTAAGTTATATTAATAATGTATTTTAAATGGTAACTTGCAACTGATAAATTTATTCTTGCTTTAAATAGGCAAAATTATATTTTTCCCACATTTTTTTTTAGAAAATGCCATATTAATTATAACAACTATTCTTTTTAAGAAAATACAGGGCTAAGCGTCCTGCTGAACGCTATATTTGTAGAAATATTTATAACAATTATTAAATACAGCTTTTTAATAAAAATAATATCATAGTTCGTTTTTGATATATTCTTTTGGGCTAGCAATAATGAAAGTATAAATAAAAAATTCATAGAAATTTAAATTTGGGAGTAGGAAAGTTTATAAGTTAAAATAAATTTGAGGAAGTTAATGGGATTAACTATTGAATCAATGAAGGATATTTTATTTTTATTCAATTCGACTATATTTTATTTAATATCCAATACATCTAAATGGATAGGCAGAGATTTTTGAGGAGGGTTTACATTCAGTGCAGTGAAAATCCTGCTCAGGCACTGCCAACAAGTCAAACGTTTAAGATAATTTAGGTATAGAGCGTTTCTTCCCAAATAAATGCTCTAATGTGTTGTGATCAGTTTGAAGCAAAAGTCTTCTACTATAAATGGATAAATAAAATTTTAAATAACCAAATAAATGTGCTCGAGCTTCTTTATCAATCGAAGCGTAATTCTGACTCTAATAAAGTCAACACGAACGAGATAGTTTTTGTCCTTCCGTCTACTAATTAATGCAACAATACAGCCCCTAATCGTGAATCAGATGCGTCGTATTCAAAAATGATCGGAAACTGCGCGTTATAAGGAATTAACATTTCCTTGGATGAAAATAATTTGTTAACCTCTTCGAAGGATTTTGTTCATCTTCTGTCCACTGCCAAGGTACTTTCATGCTCGTTAATCTATGTAATAGCGCTTTTTTACTATGTAGATTACGAAAACGTTCAGATCCAAGTTATTGTATATTTTTATGTTTTGGAGCATTACAAGATAGTCTTCATCTTTTCTGGATTAGAATATATACTGGATTAATTAAAAATCACCCCTAAAATGATACTGATTTTGGTAAAATCGAACTTTCGTCAATTCCGTCTTAAGTCCAGCCGCCTGTAGACCAGAAATTATTACATCATCTTGGTATTGCACCGGCCATTTGGAAATTAAACTCATCCATATATCTCTGGAATATAATAGGTGGACTTGCCAGTCCAAAAGTCATTAGTTGATAACGGAAATAACACTTACGAATCGCTATAGTTATAAATGCCTGAGATTCCGATTCTACTGCCATTTGCAAATATGTATCATTCAGATCTATTATGGTAAAATTTATCATGAACTCGGAATTATTTTCTTTAACAAATCGTCTAAGGTGAGTAACATGATGATAATAAACACGCATAAAGCGTAACTTAAAATCAGCGCAAATTTGAATATCTCCTTGAGCACATTTACCGTTGTCTTTGACCACTGTACTATCTTTTCTATAATTATGGCAGCCACTAGTCGGTCTATCCATTTCAATTACTTTCCAAGGAAATGGTACTCTGCAAGCTGAAAATAATAATAGTACAGCAGTATCTGCAAAATCGTGTATGTCATATTTTATCATTACAAATTGCTTGATGTTTATAAACCAATTCTCAAATTCTCATTCGATATTTTAGATTGACCCAAGGGAACATCCTTAACCGAATTCTACACTTGTTTTATTATAACATAAAGAGGTATTCCTAATTTAAACGCTACTATTTGGTAATCCAAAAAAGGCACCCAATTAGTGTTCATTATTACTACTGGTATGCTCCTTGTCAAGGAACCAATCTGAACATTGACTTGGGTTTTGCCCTTAACATTCACTAGATAATCAAGATATAAGGTCAATGACTTGACGATCTAATATTTGGTATTGCCTATACACCAGAGTCAATATCAAATTCAACATCTACATTAATCTCTGCAGTTAGTTTTGCTCAATTCTGTCTATTTTATCGAATCTTTTATGTATTAAGAATAGAATTATTTGATGACACTCTTATATTAAATTCTTTCATTTGCAACAAACTGCAAAATGACTAATTTTTTACATTTAGTACGCAGACATTTCTCTCGGTTATGAATAAACTAACATTTATAACATTTAAATTAATTATATTTTTCATCAAAAGTATTATTAAATTATAGAACCCTAAGATCTCTTTTTAATTCAGGCATTTTTGCTCCAATACTGATCATGTAAATGCTCCCTAATATTATTTTACGATTTATTTCGTTATCATTAATAAACCAAATTAAACTATTTAGAAAACTGCCATGGATTAAACTATATCGTTGTATTTTATAAATACAAATTATTATACTTCACTCTTTCATCTTCAGATAAGGATATAGGCGTTTAAATCTTTATCTAAATACCGGTAATCTTTGTCAACGAGTATGTTATTAACATAACAAATATTTGTACCTGTCAATGTGTAATTTTGACATGCCTAATATGTGTAGATTGGCAATCATCTGATTTTACAGTAGAGTAGATATTTAGTTATGGGCAAAGATTTAACACTTTTATTTAAAACAAATGTAAGCAATCAAAAAGTGTATTTTAATGAAGAAAAAAATAAAAATTCTAAAAAAATAAAAGATTTAGACTCATTTTCTCAGGAATCAAATGAAATTGTAAATAGCTATAAAATAATATCTTATCATTTTATATAGGTTAATTGCTTAAATCAATTACAATCTCTAATATATGACAACAGAGTAAAAAATCAGGATATCAGGTATTTTTATTAAAATTTATAAAGCCTTATATATTAAAGGTTTTTAAAACAATATTTTGATTGTAACAAAGAAAAAAATATGGAAGATTTAGTTAATATTGTATTAAATAGCTCATTTCAAAAATTAGCTTTGCTCAAAAATGCATGTATATATCTTTGTACCTATTCTATTATTTTTATATAAGATTTAGAATCATTGTCACCTCAACATAATATGCATCGTAAATTAGTTTGTGATTCAATATTGACCCTAATAAAGAGTAATTTTGAATAAATTTTTAATCTATAAAATAAATGTACATAGGAGTCTCTCAGTCATTTGTTCAAGAAAGAACTATGAAAGCACAAAAGATTATGCAACATATTGACATGTATGTTATTATATCACTGTGTTTGTTATATACCACTACATATTATATAATATGTTGATTATAGTTCACGCTTGCAAAGAAAACAAATAAAAGTTTCCAGAGTTTTTGAAAAAGAAAAAAGTTAAATATTTTTATAATATATTTCAGGTTGTAATGAAAGGAAAAGGGGAAGGTAAGTAAAGGGCCAGAGCTAAAAGGGATGTTTGTGTAAATAAGTTATGAAATTAATTATGTTAGGGCAAACTAAGAAGAAATGGGAAAGTTAGAAGGGGAAAAGTGAGGGCAATCAATATTATGTTATAATATACCAAAAAGGAAAAAGAATAGCTGGCATGATCCGAAGCTGGATATTTAAAGATTATGAAGTGCATCTAATTGTAATTCCCAGGTATGCAGGATTACAAGGATTTGCCCAGTGGAGGGAACGGCAACGATGGAGAAATGTAAGAATGCAATTTCCATGGAGGGAGTAAGGATCATGGAGGGAACAAGGAACGAGATTGAAGCGACATAAGGAATCTTCCGAGGATGCAGGTGGATAGTAGACGGTGCTACAACTGCGGGGAGCCAGGGCACCTATGGGCTCAATGTATGCGTAGCGGAAGGAGAGCGAGAAGAAGACAGGCGTCGAGAAGAGGACGGATAAGGAGATCAGAGTTATCATGGGAAAATACAGTGGGTCAACCGTATGGATGTGTGGAGGAGCAGGTTGAGTTGAGGAGGGAGGAACAACTAGGAACAAATGGGCAGACGATGCGTGACCAAAGATCAGAAGTTTGAGAAGAGGAGAATGCGGAGGAGCAGGAAGCTAACGGGGAACAGGAGCAACTAGCGTTGGAGCAAATGAGGGGAGCGGTGGTGGAAACCATGACGGATCTGGATGAAAGCCTGGCGTGGGAGGAGCTCATGCAGCTGGGAGAGATTGGAGTAGGGGAACAAAACGGAATGACTATGGAAGACTGGGAGCTGGAACACTTTTTGGAGTTCATCCTGTCAGAGGATGAGGATGAAGATGATGGGGACTCTGGTTTTATGTAAAGGGGGAAGTGTGATGTTTGGGGATATTAAATTATAATATAGTTGATAGTATAATTATAATATAGTCATTAAAAGAAGTTAATTGTAGTTATTTGTTTTAAATAGGATTAGTATACTTCAGTATATTATTATTATTTTAATTCAATATTATATTATTTTGCGCAATCGTTTTGTTAAAAAAAAAAATTATTATATTATTAGCATTAATTAAGTTGTATTGTGAATATAAAAAGAAAAAAAAAATAATAAAAAAGAGAGAAAATCGGGTTTTTGAAAAAATTTTCGTTATTAATTCTGGGAAGAAAATTTGTTGTTGATTTTTTTTGGTTGAGAGAAGTTATTGAAAAAGAAAAATTGGTGTATGTTTAAAAAAAGAAGAAATTAAAGTAAGACAAAAAATAATAATGTTCCAGCTCCCAGTCTTCCATAGTCATTCCGTTTCGTTCCCCTACTCCAATCTCTCCCAGCTACATGAGCTCCTCCCACGCCAGGCTTTCATCCGGATCCGTCATGGTTTCCACCACCGCTCCCCTCATTTGCTCCAACGCTAGTTGCTCCTGTTCCCCGTTAGCTTCCCGCTCCTCCGCATTCTCCTCTTCTCGGACTTCTTATCTTCTGTCACGCATCGTCTGCCCTTTTGTTCCTCCCTCCTCGACTCCACCCGCTCCCGCTCCTCCACACATCCATACGGTTGACCCGCTGTATTTTCCCATGATAACTCTGATCTCCTTTTCCGTCCTCTTCTCGACGCCCGTCTTCTTCTCGCTCTCCTTCCGCTACGCGTACATTGAGCCCGTAGGTGCCCTGGCTCCCCGCAGTTGTAGCACCGTCTACTATCCACCTGCATCCTCCGAATATTCCTTATGTCGCTTCCCAATCTCGTTCCTTGTTCCCTCCATGATCCTTAATCCCTCCATGGAAATCGCATTCTTACATTTCTTCATCGTTGTCGTTCCCTCCACTGGGCAAATCCTTGTAATCCTGCATACCTGGGAATTACAATTAGATGCACTTCATAATCTTCAAATATCCAGCTTCGGATCATGCCAGCTATTCTTTTTCCTTTTCGGTATATTATAACATAATATTGATTGCCCTCACTCTTCCCCTTCTAACTTTCCCATTTCTTCTTATTTTGCCCTAACATAATTAATTTTATAACTTATTTACACAAACATCCCTTTTAGCTCTGGCCCTTTACTTACCTTCCCCTTTTCCTTTCATTACAACCTTGCAGAATATATATTTTTTTTTTACTAATTTTTTGGTTTTTTTTTTTTACAAAACTCTACGCTTTTCCCTCCTTTCTCCCTTTTTTTTTACGTAAATTTAAACTCTTCAAAATTTTTTTTTTAAACTTAATTTAAAAATTTCACACAAAAAAAATTTTTTTTTTTTTAAACATAAATTTAAGTTCTTCAAAAATTTCTTTGTTCAAAAAAATATTTTCCCTTTCCTTTAAACCTAAATTTTCCCAAAAAAATTTTTTTTAAACGTACCTTTACACTCTTCACAAAATTTTTTTTTTTACATCATATATTTAAACTCTTCACCCAAAAAAATTTAAAACGGAAATTTAAACTCTCCACACAAACAATTTTTTCCTTAAACTAAAAACCTCCCAAAAAAAATATTCCCTTTAAATATCTAAAAAAAAAATTTACCTTAATTCCCTAATCTTTGATTTTTCAAACCGAATTAATTTGCGAATTTCCGATCTTTTACAAGCCCAACAACAAAATATGACATACCCTATACTCTTAAATTACACAGTCATGTTTACTTTCAAATCAAGCTAATTATATTCCCAATTTATTAACTAAAACTCCCTTTTTGACAACTTTTCTACATTTATTAATTAATTACTTACTTCGCTTGCCAAATTTATATAATTCTTCTCTTTTTCTTTTACCCAAAACATTTTATGTTTTACTCATTCCTCTTATCACCTGCTCAAAAATTTCAAATAATTTCTATTATTTTCTACCCCAACTTCTTATTCACACGATAACCTTGTTAAAATTAAATTATTTAATAAGCGTTTTTTTCTTTTTCTCTTTTAACTTTCAAACCTCACAATTCCCTTACAAAAAACAAACGAAGATACTTCTACTTTCTCTTATTTTTTATTTTTTTAAAAAAAAAACTCTTTTCCAAACGGAGACCCCCTTTTTTCCGCTGTTTATCTCTCTATTACCCAAATTAACTATTTTATTCTAAAACTAAATAATTTACCAACCAAGATTATTACGAATAAAAGGCGCCCTATTATTATTTACATATTCTCATTAAGCGCATATTTGAGCTAAAATTAAGCTAAACCCTTTTAAGACGGACAAGTAAATAAAACGCTCCCTTCCCAAACGGTTATATATATATATATTTTTCCTTTTTTTTTATTTCTCTATTAATATATTCATTGATACGCTTATTAAAATATTGAAAGGAGAACTATCGCTTAATGGCTCATTGTTGCCCCCATAATTTACATATATATATTTATTTTTTTTAAAACACACTCCATACTTTAACCATAATAGATGCATATATACGTATTCTTGCTTTTCCCTTTTATACATTCCCCTCTCCCTTATCTCCTTGGACTCTTGTTACTTTGTTCTCCCAGATCCTTTCCCTCAGGGTCTCGGGATCGATTCGCCTCCTGAGTTGATCCCTATGCCTAACTCCTTGTCTTCCGTCGGCAAATTCGACTTTATTTACGTGATCTCCCATATTTTCCACAATCACCCCGGGCTCTCATTTCTTTTTATTTCCAAATATTCTTGCCCATACAGCTTGCCCCATCATAAATTCCGCTTCATTTCTCGTATCTACCCGTTCATTTTCTTGATTTGCCGGCCTCAATGAATCCAACCAAATTCGCGTTCACCGTCCTAAAAACTTTTCTGCCGGTGACGGCTCATTCCCTTTTTTACTGTTGTTATAATACGCCACAGCTACCCATATCTCTCCGCCCCCATCCTTCGATTTTTTTAACCAATTCTTTACGACCGCTACCATCCTTTCCGCCTGTCCATTGGAACTTGGGTGGTAAGGCGGCGTTAAAACGTGTTTCGCTCCAGTTTCCGCACAAAAGACTTTGAATTGTTTACTTATAAATGCAGGACCCCCATCTGAAACCACTGTCTTCGCGACCCCAAATTTAGCCCATAAATTTTTCAATACTTTTATGACTACTTGAGTGGTTAATTCTTTCACTTCCTCATACTCTACCCATTTCGAAAAAGCATCTACCACTAATATATATATCTCATTTTCGAAATCAAAGAAATCCAAGTGAATGCGGTCCCACGGCTGGGTTGCTTTCGGCCATACACTTTCTCTGTCTTTTCGAGGCATAGGCGCCCATGAATTACACCTCACACAAGCTCGACTGATGTTTTCAATGTCTTTGTTCCTTCCTGGCCACCACACATACTCCCGCCCCCACTGTTTCATTCTCTCCATTCCTTGATGTCCCGCATGAATCATTGCCATCACGGCTTCCCTTAACTTGAACGGTATTACACTCCGACTCCCTCGCACTAAACATCATCTATAATTGCCAACTCCTTCTCTATATACTTGAACGTTTTATCCCCGTCTTGCCAGGCCTTCCGTCCCTTTAGGCATGCTTTGACTCGTCTTAATTCTCGATCTTTTAAGGTTTCCTTTTTAATTATCTCCCAGGTCACTGGCCCACCCCTGGATATCCCAGCCATCGTTCTAATCAGTATTTGCTCATTTTCCTCATCTCTTTCCTCCTGTTCTTTCTCACCAAAATCCTCTCCCGCTCCACACCGAGATAAAATGTCCGGTAAGTAGTTTTCTTTTCCCCGACGATACCTCACTTGTACGTCAAAGCTGCCTACAAGCAATAGCCATCTTTGCAAGCGAGGCGACAGCATCAGCTCCTTAAAGCTGCCTACAAGCAATAGCCATCTTTGCAAGCAAGGCGACAGCATCAGCTCCTTATTATCTTTCTTAAACAGATGTACCAGCGGCTTATGGTCCGTGTAAATCACAAACCGGCGCCCAATCAAATACTCTCGACATTTCGTCAACCCAAAAATTACGGCAAGCGCTTCTTGTTTAATCACCGAATACCTAGTCTCTGCTGCTCTAAATATCCTTGAGAAAAATAACACTGGCCTTTCCAACCCATCAATACAATGTAATAGAGCTCCTCCTACCCCTTTATTTGACGCGTCTACAGCCACAAATACCTCCAATTCGTTGTTGAAGCATACTAAAATGGGTTCCCTTCCAATCCTGAATTTCAGCTCCTCAAAGGCCATCTCCTGTTCATCTGCCCACTCAAATTTCTCTCCCTTCCTTAGCAATTGATATAACGGCGCGGCTATCTGAGCAAATCCCTCCACGAACCTATGGTAATAGTTGACCATTCCCAAAAAGGCCTGCACTTCCGCTTTATTACTAGGTCTTATCATATTATTAATACCCGTCATATTCTTGTCTAAGGGTCTCACTTCCTTTCCCGTAATAGTGTGCCCCAGATACGTCACTTCCATAACTCCCAACACACTTTTCTCCGCACTGGCCCGCAATCCTTTTTCCCTTATTCTTCTAAATACTTCCTCCAATTTCCGCTCATGTTGTTCAGGCGTCCTTCCAGTCACCAACACATAGTAGAAAACTCCCTCCATTCCTTGGAAAACAGCAGCCATTGTCCGCTGAAAAATAGGAGCTGAGACACTAAGTCCGAATGGTGATCTACAAAACGCGATCAATCCCTTCGGCGTAGTAATAGTTAATAACTTCCTTACCTTTGATCGTACACGTAATTGCAGATAGGCATTAGAAAAATCCACTTTTGAAAAATACACGCTTCCCTTTAAATTGGCCAGTATTTCCTCAATTCTTGGCAATGGATATTTGACCTCCACGACCCATGGATTTAATGTAACTCGAAAATCAGCACATAAACGGAGTTTTCCATTCGCTTTCTTCACCGGCACCAATGGAGTTGCCCACTCACTGTATTCCACAGGACAAACAATTCCTTTTTGTACCCATTGATCCAATTCCAACTCGACTTCCTTTCTCCACTCAAATGGTATCCGCCGTAACGCACAGAACTTTGGCACAACCATCTCTCAACTTAACGTCTACTTCATAGTCCCTGAGGCATCCTAAGTCTTCATTAAAAATTTCCTGATAGCTTTGTACTAATCTCCGGACTCCTTCTTGTACTTGGGTCATAGCCAATTCTCCTCTCTCCTCCTTAGTTATCAATTCTTCCTAAGCGGTGTTCTGTCCCTCATTAATTCCCAATTTTCTCTAGGCGTCTCCCTTGTTTTGCTCCTTAACTGGTCTATTTCGCTCCTTGACGGGTCTTCCCTTGTTACGCTCCTTGGGTTACATCCCCTTGTTTCGCTCCTTAACTTGGCTTCTCTTATTACGCTCCCTGGGTTATTTCCCTCGGCCCCACTCCTTGAATTGACTCCTCCGGTTACGCTCCTTGCGTTATTTCCCTCTGCTTCGCTCCTTGGATTGACTTCTCTTGTTACCCTCCTGGGGTTATTTCCTTTTGCTTCGTTCCTTCGTCTGGCTCCTCTTGTTACGCTCCTTGGGTTATTTCCCTTTGTTTCGCTCCTTGGGTCTTCTCCCGTTACGCTCCTTGGGTTATCTTCCCTGATTTCGCTCCTGGAATGATTTCTCCCTATTTCGCTCCTTAAATTATTGCTCCTTGTTTCGCTCCTAGAATTATTTCTCCTTACCTCGCCCCTTGGATTATCGCTTCCTGTTACGCTCCTAAAATTATTTCCTCTGGTTTCCATCGATCAGTTTTATGATGCTACTGAAATGGATTGCATAAAGCCCAGAAAAGTGTTTGAGCTTTTATAAAAAAAGATATAGGCAAATATAAACCTTAATAAATCCAAATAAATAGGGGCAAGTTAAAAATTTGCTAGACCTTTAGTCTACCTCTGTCTAAAAGAATTTCCACAAAAATGACCACTATTTTATTTCTCGAGCATTAATGGCGTTCATTTTTATTTGAATACTACTCTTAATGCTTTTATCTCATATAATTTATGATCAATATTAATAAATATTATGATACCATATAAAAAAATAAATAAATCGAAGTTTTATAATGCTGCAAACATTGCCTTCAAAAATTATTTGCAGTTTTTTTAGTCCGACGTTCTAAAACGATGTTAGTATGTTGACTAAAATATTAATTGGGTATGAGAGATTTACCGATATCGAATGTATGTGGCATCAGTCCTTGAAAACCTCTCCCGAGAGCAAGATATCTTCAACTTTGATGTAAAGAGGAGGAAGAGTTTTGCGAAAAAGTAATCTTAAAATCAAGAAATTACAGGATAGAGCAAAACGATTCATGAACCCCAAGAAAAAATAGAGCATGTTTTACGAGAAATTTTTAGTGAATGGTATGAGAAAATTTTAGTAAGCAACATGAAAGACCAGATGGGGAACTCATCGGAATCTATTAAAGCCCCGATGGAGAGGGGATGACGATAAAACTATAAGTGAGTGGCGAGCTACACAAGAAAATTTATAATTAGGAAATTAAGTTAAAAAGATAGGGAAGACATAATGTGACAATTGTTATGATATTTATGATAAAAAAAGTAACAAAAAAATTTTAATATCACGCATAAATACAAAATATCGAGTAGTAACCATTAACTTTTATCGTCTGGTTTATATATATATATATATACAAAAGTTAAATTTAAGAAAAAAAACAAGCCAAACCTAAAATAAATAAGGGTTCGTTTACCTAAATGTCAACATTTTTTTTAAATATTAATTTAAATATTTTTTTTTCTTGCAAAAGATGTTTTTCCTTACGCATCATCATCGACCACTCATTCCAATGCCTTAAATAATGGCCTTGACGGTTCTACTGATAAGAAAACAAATTATTCAAAATATGGTACTAATTTGGATGCGGATTTAAATCAAAATACAGAGGATCGGGCAAATGAGAAAAGTTCGAATTTTACTCAGGAAGAGATCCAGGAGGTAATTATTCTAACACTGCATTTACAATAAACGCGATTCGTTCGAGCGTGCCAAATTAATCGTTAGCCAAAATAACAGCTGATTCGTCTATTATCGCATCGCAACATGTGTTTTTCACGAAATATCATCAATTCGCTCAGTATTTAAGAATTATACATGTTACTGGCTTGATTATGCAAATTTGCTTAGCGAAAAATTTCGCACCACTTGAGCGAATCTCCCTTACTATAAATATACAGTGTAGTTTTGAAAATGTATTTCATTTATTTTTCGTAAAATTGTTCGTAAATTAAAAAATTTTTTTTTTGATGAAAATTAATTATTTAGTTCGAACAAGAAAATCGGAAAATATACGAGGAATACACGTCATCGTTAAATGAAATACAGTAAAGAAAAATAAATTCCCTCATTATTTATATTTATCTCATAAAGTATCGTTTTTTGAAATGATTTTACTTTAAGTTTTGAAAAAATACTTTTGCTCCGTAAAAAATGTTATATTCTTAAATATATGAAAATACTTAACTTCAGATCAATCGAGAAAAAGATGGTCGAAATATCGCGTCTACAGGATGTACTGACGGACAACCTTTTGACACAGGTGCCTTGTTAAAACACTTAAAGGGGCCTTATACTTATACGTTCATACACTCGTAGGGATGATTGTTTATGGCTTAAGCCAAATCCTTTACCTATAATTAGACATTTTGTGTCTGTTCCATATATTTAAAATTTATCACGTTTTAATTTGTGAATAGACCACATTTTCATTTTACCCTCCGTTTCTAATCTAGTTACTCCTTTTTTTGTTTTGTTTTAATATCAAAACATTGTCACAATCTTTCCCACTATACATGTTCTTCTCATTTATTAATTTTTCTAAATAATTATTCTCAAAAGGATGAAAGCATAGACAGGGTTGCTGATAGTACAGTTAACACTACAGAAAATGTTAAACAAGGGAATGTCGAAATTTTGCAAGTGAACTATAATAATAATTATAACAAATAGCCCAAAACTATTTATTATATTTTTTTAAATGAAACTCTAGGCACTTCAACACAAAGCAGGGGTCAGAGTTTGGATGCTATTCATTTTAATCGTATTGACCTTTTCGTTGTTGTTTCTAGACTGGTACAATCCCTGATGGCTTATTTGGAATCTAGCATTTTATTATATTATATGACCTATGCCTTTTAAATTATGTATTGTTTTGTGTGAACTCTTAAAAATAATCTGGGCATCGCAAAACATTTGTCATTGATTTGAATCAATATTTCGAGTCAATAAAACGTATGGATATAATATATTTACTGAAAATGTTTGATATTCTATAAAAAAATTTAAAAAATCTTAGCTTTTTTTTTTAAAAGTAAGCGACGATGTTAATAGCTCCGGAATTTTTTCCTAAGTTTACTTTACAAAACTAAAAAAACGATTATTTTTATTGTGAAATAAATAAAAGTGAGTGATAAAAATATGCGTTTTTTAGTCGAATCTGATGAAAATATGCAATTTTTAATCGAAATTACAGGTGGGCGTGGTTTAATTTTTTACGGTGGTAATAAAAAATATTCACGTTTTTTCACGTTTACCACTAAATAAATTTTTGACTCGATCCGCCTGCTCACGAAAGACCATATTTTAATCACATCCTAGAATTCTCGGCGTTAAAATTTTCAAAACTTTGTTGCTATATTTAAATTTATTCTATCATAGTTTTTATCTCTAATGCTAAATTAATAACACAAAATAATTACAATTTATAAATCAAAATTTTTATATAGAAAAAGAAGATTGTCCATGTTTTTTTTAATTTCAATTATGTTCGCCTTTCCTCAAGCGATCAAAATAATCTTTCATTATAAGCCGAACTTGTCGGGGCTGACAAAATTTTTCATGTAATTTTCTCAAAAAAAGGAAATGAATTTTCCTGCTTCCAAAACTTCAAAATATTGTCATTGTTATTTGTTTTATCAACGGTGAATTGAGTTCATCCTCACAAATTTCAACGCTATGTTGATGCTTCATCAGAATCATTTAAAAATTCCCAAAATGTTTCATTTAAAATAGCGGTTTTTTATGTGTATAGGATGAATTATAAAAGTTATAAATGATAGTTGATATTGACTTATGCATATAATCTAATTTTATATCCTTGGGTGACCAGTAGAAAAAGATGACTTATCTATTTAAAAGGATACATAATAGAGGTTGCCTATTTAATAGGGCTAGCTAAATTGTTAGGGGAATCTGTAAAAGAACAATAAATTGTTTCTTTGAGACAGTTGTTTATGGGAATATGCATATATTAGGAATAATTAAAAAGTATTTGCATAAGACTAAAATTATTGTACTAAGTTTATGATCATTATGTGGTAAATCATTCAAAAAAAATGTATTAAGGTCACCTTTAATATACATTCAAACAATTGAGAGGCAATAGAAACGCTTAAAAAATAATGTCACAATAACAGATATAGAGAAAAGACAAATTAATATTAAAAAAAAATTTTTTTTTTTAAAAATTAATCTAAATGTAAAGGAAAAATTATTGTTATTATTTACACATATATTAAATAATATATTGAGTAATAATATGTTTAAATATTAATAAATTTTAAAATATTTGTTCACTATATTTTAAATATAAATAAGCCAAACAAGTAATGTAATTTGTATGATTTTAGGTTTGTAGGTAAATTTGAGTGTTGTGATATTCAAATGAGTTAAAGAAAAAAGAATAAAAAAGATTTATTATTCAGATTAAATAAAGTTCAAGATTATTTCAGTTTGTGGGTAAAACATTATGTAAATGAATATTATAGAAATCGAGGATATTTTTCTTGTAAAGAATTATGATTTTACGAACTTAATTTTTAATCTTATAATTTTAATTTTTTTATATTATTATTTCTTATTTTAATTATGATTATGAAATTAGTATTTATATTAATTAATAAAGAATTAGTAGTTTAATTATACTATTTATTTTATGCTCTAAATTCTCTCAACCACTACTTTTGTTGGCCGAAACATTATGTTCTATGGACATATTTAGGCTCCATAAAATACTAAAATATTACATTGGTGTTGGAGAGTGGAGGCGACAGGGCAATTTAAACAATTCAGTCTAATTAACTCTGAAAAGAAATTCTAAATAAAGGGGGAAGGGGATGTATGAAATGAATATCGACTAAGACAAAGAATGAGAGCAATAAAACAATGGTATCAATATTAATGGTCGTAATTCGAAAAAGAATAGAATTAGTCGTTTAATTAAAAGGAATTCGTCACAAGAGATCGTTATACGTACAAATGATCGATGTAGCTAAAAATAAATTCGTTATAATTTTTATTAAAGATACGTTTAACTCTTATATTAGTTGATAATATTTAGCAAAATACTAGGTTGTTGATTAACCAAAATCTTCAAGAAGAGAAACGGCTTTCGTCATTAGAAAATTCATGTCGCAATCGAGCTCAATTAGAGATCGGATTTTTATTTTGGATCAAAAGATACAACAAATCATTATCGTATAAGAGATCTTAAGGCAACGTGGATATCTTGATAAGCGACTAGGTAGAACAAGTGGTCAAGACCAGGATGCAATCGTTAATCGCAGATCAAGCTTCGCTTATCGTTGACCGAGATAATGCACTTATCATTAGTTACAAGAGAAGAAGATAGAAACAAGCAAAGATTAAAATAATTTAACAGGAGAATTTAAGATGGGGTATCGATAATCATTGACTAGCAATCGGGAATCGTTTAAAAGCATGCAATCAATACCAGACGAAGGCAAGAAACAGAATCTACCGGTGAGAAGAAGTAATCGAATACATGCAGGAATATTGGTATTTCGCAGAATGTGGGGTCTAATCTAAGTGGAAGGGTGTTGTGATATTCAAATGAGAAAGAAAAAAGATTTATTATTCAGATTAAATAAAGTTCAAGATTATTTCAGTTTGTGGGTAAAACATTATGTAAATGAATATTATAGAAAATTATATATAATCGAGGATATTTTTCTTGTAACGAATTATGATTTTACGAACTTAATTTTTAATCTTATAATTTTAATTTTTTTATATTATTTTAATTTCTTATTTTAATTATGATTATGAAATTAGTATTTATATTAATTAATAAAGTATTAGTAGTTTAATTATACTATTTATTTTATGCTCTAAATTCTCTCAACCACTACTTTTGTTGGCCGAAACATTATGTTCTATGGACATATTCAGGCTCCATAAAATACATTTTAGACCCGGCTGGTCACCACGGGTTTATTTTACAAAAAATATACTTCTCGGCCCGTTTTGGGCCCGGTCTGCAGGTCTTTGATAAATATAGAGTAGGTAAGCAAAAATAAAAAAAAGGAATTTATTGAAGCAATTACAATGAATAATAACTATAGAAACAAGTTTAATAATAATTAATAAAAGTAAATAAATTACTTAAATATGGATATTGACCACGAATGGTTGTAAAAAATCCCCAGTCCCTACTATTGGTCTCCATCTTTCGGCTAACTGTAACACTAAACATACTCCGTGTGTAAAACTCAGATCGAGAAAAATCGCCTCCCTTTATACTGCGCAAATTCTCGAAGGATGCCATCCAAGATATTTTTCAATCAACATAAGGAAGCTTTAAAACGAGCCAACATACATGCTCTCTAGAACTTCTAGGCCTCGGTATAACCGATGGTAAGGAAGGCCTTATGGATTGACATGTATTCCATGGCAGATTTTGTTACCGATCGTCTCGCATGAAATTACACGTGCATGAAAAGAACAAATATTTTTTTATAAACAATATGGACTTCGCTTTGGTTACCACCTCTACATTGGGAGCCTTTGGTTCCGAGTCCTCTCTTAAAAGTAATAGGAAATAAAAGATATGCTTTTTCTGATCCCAAGGAATCTCTTATCTTTGCCAAAACATTGGCTTGAAAAATATGCCTTTCAAATTTCTTATCAATCCACGGTTCCATGTATCTTTAGAAAAAAAATTTTTCAAGATCTATTTGCGTTTTTATTTTGAATTTCACATATTTTATAATTATATTAAAGTATTAACCTAAGATTAATATTATATAGTTATGGAAACTATTACAAGTATTAAATGCTAGAGATGCGGAGTACGATAATTATTATTTAATAAACTTAATTTATCAAACCTTATCTTCTCTTAACTTAATATAATTATTTAATTTAATCACAAACTTTCTAAGTCTTAATTTTTCTTCAACTTAATAATAAATATTAATTAACTGAGTTACACTATTTTAAACTTTCAAATATATTTAATCATTTTTATTTCTTATATCAATTTAATAATTCATAATCAAAAGTTAAAAAATTTTCCAGAAAAATATCATAAATCCTTATTCATATTCACAAAAATATAAGTTAAGAAAAATCTATTAATAATTACAGGGGCGGAATGGCGACGCTACGGCCTCGTGGGCATTTTTTTTATAACGGCCTCAATTATATGGAGGCTCCCCCATATCTCCCCGCTTTTGCTCGGTCTTCGACCGGGTTCCCTTATATGGCTTCTTCGATTTCCATGATTTTTATTACTTCTTATTTTTGAAAATAAGTTCAAAAGATATACATTTTTAGTAAAAAAAAAGAATAGTATTATACGTTAGTCATATATTTTATTTTTAAAAAATGCACATCTAAAATCATATTCACTACAGATATAAAATAATTTTCATTGCACATATATATTTTATGGTAATAGGAAAAAAAACCCCGGAAAATAAACCCCCAGGAAAAAAACCCCTTGGGATTATTTTTATACACTCTCATATTTAAGTATAATCTAGCAATACAATTGCAAGTTAATAATTTGTTAAAAATATTATGACCTCATCAACTTTTTGCTGATAGACCATTCATGCTTCCTCCTCCTACTGTCATGGGCCTTGCTGGAGTTGGTGTACCTCCTATGAATATGATGCACCATCCAAATTTACCCCCCAATATGATGGGTTATTTATATTTACTATTGATACTTAAAACGTTATGTATATATTATAAATTATTAGAAATAACTGCTTGCATAAATAGGCCAATCCAAACAGATTTTTTTAAAATACAAATTTATTTAAGCAGATAATCAATTTTTAGAAATACATCTGTATATAACTTGATTGGTTGTTAGCAGCCAGTATATAAAGAAATAGAAACTTAATTCATTGCATATTTAAAAGATGAATATTGAAATAAATTCGTGATTTATTATAATAGAAACAAATATACATTCACCCAATATACAATTTAATTCAGTTGAAACCATTAAAATGCAAATGGGAAATACTCGATTTTTTTGCATTTGGTATTTTGAATATATGTGATAATTTTAATTTATTCATGATTTATCACCTCATTGATATGCAACTACCTTTAGTTTTTAGCTTATTAAAAGTTTTAAAATGTATTTTTAATCAAAAGAATAAAAATTGTTTATTAATTAAAAACGCTATAATTGATATTTAGACAATTGCAAGTTAATAATTTGTTAAAAATATTATTGTTTAGCAACGTTAAATGAACATATATTAAAATGTATTTTTAATCAAAAGAATAAAAATTGTTTATAAATTAAAAACGCTATAATTGGTATTTAGACAATTGCAAGTTAATAATTTGTTTAAAATATTATTGTTCAGAAACTAGTTAAATGAACAAATATTAAAATGTATTATGATCATTATGTTTTAAAATGTATTTTTAATCTAAAGAATAAAAATTGTTTATCAATTAAAAACGCTATAATTGGTATTTAGACAATTGCAATTTAATAATTTGTTAAAAATATTATTGTTCAGCAACTAGTTAAATGAACAAATATTAAAATGTATTATGATCATGTTTTAAAATGTATTTTTAATCAAAAGAATAAAAATTGTTTATCAATTAAAAACGCTATAATTGGTATTTATTTATAAAATTAAACAATAATTATTTGGATCTTTATGCCGTATATAAAGACAAAAAAAAATTAAATTTACAAAAATATTTTATTCATAAAATTTATATTTTATAAAAAAAATTAATAGATTTTATTCATCCTGGAAAGCTCATATATGGAGGGTATTCTTTGGCGCTGCTCAAAGTATTCTTCTTTTAAATGCCGAGCAATACTTTTTTCAACACTCGATAATCAAGACCCGGTTCTTGATACAGCTCATAATCATCCATCAAATATTAATGGACTAGTAGCAATGAAATCCATCGCTAACATGAAGAAGCGATGTGCAGACTCTTTGGCAAAACCTCTTCAAATTTATGCAGAGGAAATTGTAAAATTAGACCAACGAGTTCAGTCGCATATGTTATCGGAAGATTCTATAAAAAGAACTCTAAGGAATCACAACCCTTCAAATCTTGAGAATTTGGAAGACCTAGTTATTGAAGGTATTAGTTTAAATATAATTATATATTCATAAAAATTTAAATATTATAGGTGATTAGGCAAATTGTGGCTCCCATAACTCAAAACGATTTTTATTATTTGATAATGGCCCACAAGCTGAAGAACGCATAATAATGTTCGCAACATATGATTCCTTGAATCTAATATCTAATAGGACAGAGTGGTATATGGATGGTAATTTTGCCATGTCCCCTCAAAATTTTCTACAATTATATGTGATTAGAGTAGCAATAAACAATATTTTTATTACAGCGGTTTATTGTGTACTCCATACTCAAAGTACTTATGAAATAATATTTCAAACAATAATGTCTAAATGTCAGGAAAGGGATTTATTTCCTGATCCATTATATATATACATGGATTTCGAAAAGTCTGCTATGACCGCGGTTAAGAGTATCATTGGTATGATTATTAATATGTTTAATAATTTATATTTATTTTTCCAATTAGGGGATCACATCGTAATTAGAGGATGTTTTTACCATTTGTGTCAAAGTACACATAGAAAAATTCAGAAGCTGGGTCTGGAAAGCGAATACAGGACCGATGAAACTCTAAGTTTTTTTTGTGGCATGATGGACGGCTTAGCATTCGTTCCGTTATGTGATATGGACATTGCAATGACATTCCTGAGATCAGTTACTCCGAGCAATGGTAAGGACATACTTGATTATTTCGATAAAAATTATGTCAGTGGAGTATCAAGGGAGGTCATGAGAAGCAATTCTCAATCCCAAACACGTCGAATTGAGCCTCGATGAAACCTGGAACGTCAATCAGAGCACTCTCTCAGATGAAGAACGAACAAATAATCAAGCGAAGGTTGGAATCATCTTTTTTCTAATCTGGTTGGGAATAAACACCCATCAATCTGGGTACTCATTAAAAAAATGAAATGCGAGATGGCTGCCGACGAAACCAAACTTGAAAGATGGCGCGTAGGTAGTTGGACATCGAAAACAAAATCGCAGAGTTCTAACAACCAGATTCGGCTAAAGAAACTTTGTGAAGAATACCGTGATGGGGTGCGAAGCCTTCAAGATTTTATAAGAGCGATATCCTTCAATATTCGATGTCAACCAATATAATTATTATTATAAATTATAAAATTTGTATATACATGATCATGATTTACCAATAAAATAAACATTATTTTATATTAGATTTATAACGATATTGCACTATAAAATCAAATCATACATCCACATGTTGAATATAAAAAAATACATACTCAATATATCAAATCAATTAATTTTACACATAAAATTATTGCAATTATACAATATTACCGCTATAAAATTGCTGCACTTATAAAATCAGGCACCGATCATATTGTAAATAGATATTAATAAAATTCAAATAAAAGAATTAAGAAAATATATAATTTTTACCTTAATGAATCTCCCATTAATTTTGAACCTTTTCGCAAATATACAAGAATATCTTCTAGTTCAATCTGCGCTAATGGTTCTCATTCAACTGACATCATTAAAAACGCTTCTAATTTTTCTTGGTCAATATTAGCTCTCAGCTTATTTTTATAATTTTTAATTTACTAAATGCTTTCTCGCAATTAACCTGCGTAAATAATAAAGTTAAAATGCATTCATATGCCAAAAATAGTCACTTGTATGCATCATAGGATGCAAATTTTGCACATTCAAAATAAGCTATCAATTCGCAGAAAGCCGTTCTGACAAGCTGCTTATATATTGATCAATTATAGGACGAAATACTCCGAGCCTATAAAGATCAATCGATTCTTGAGGACGCTTATCTTGGCATTTGTCACTATATATTCTCTTCGTTCGTCCTATTTGATTTTTTGGCAGAGCATTCTGTACCCTGATACTCTTCGGGAGCTTTAAATATTAAAGTGTCACATAAATTAGAAGCCATTTTATTGCTTTATTTTGAATCGATGATACAGAAGACTTAGCATTTTCTATCATTTTCCATGCTGACAAAGTGACTAATTTTTTAGTTTGAAGATATGACAGTGGCCCAATTATTTCAAAAATTTCCAAATATATTATAGCTGTACTTAGAGTCTTAAATTTAAATAAATTATCAAGTTTTTGTCTCAAATGATTTATTATCTATTATAAATTGAAGTGCATTTATCGTTATTGGCAGCAAGCTCTCTTTACCATATATCCTCTAAGGGTTTTTTCACGTGCCTACCACCTTATCTAACCTATTTTTTGCAGCTTTCTCAACTTATTTTGGCCAGATGAATTATTCTGTTTCACCCAACCATTCATCCTTTAATCTGATTCACCGACCTGGATTTTATTTGATTTCAATGAATTAAGAACAAGAAATGTTGGCTATATTATTTCTACAATAAATCAATGTATAAAAATGTAATATAATGAATTAATCAAAACTTAGCTTTCACTCTACTCAAACGGAAACGTTTTTAATTCATTTGAAAAAAAAACAAAGAAAAGAACGTGGTAATGATATATAGCGTCAAACGACGTTACTGGTATTTTATGCATTAAGTTATAGTAAAGACAATTGTCAAGGAATGTGATATTCAAATCATAGAGATATCATTAAAAATAAATAAATGATAAGAGGAAATAATGAGAACATAATAATTTTTTTTTTTGATATTTTACTCTGATCGGCCTCAAAAATCGACATTTTCTCGCGGCCTCGTGGGCAAAATGCCCATCTGGTCTTATGGCCCATCCGCCCCTGAATAATTATTTCTTATTTATAATGATGCTTTGTTTAATTTCTACCAATCAACAATAAGTATTGTTGATTGTCATTTAAATATATTAAAAAAATATTATAACTTTTACAAATTAAACGACAACTAGGTATAAATTAAACAAAAACTAGGACAGTTTGTTTGCTTGCATATGGAGAATATTTATTTATAATATAAAGTTATTAAAGTAAAATTAGTAAAATAATACTTAGAAATTATTTTCTGAAATATAGTAATTTAAAATATATAGCAAGATAAAGGCTCATAATATACTCCATATGTTGGAAAATGAAAAATTTATCATTTACTTATCTTTTCTTAAAGCAGTTTTATAAATTTAATGGATTAATACCTGCTAAATGGCGTAGTTCAATATTAAAATTTTCTCAGTCCAGACATCAACTATATATTATTTGAGATTGAGAGATCACAATCAATTTTAATTTTTCAAAAATCTTTGAAGGTGGAACAATTATTTTATTCACTATAATCAAAATATTCTTGAGCTATATAAGTTTTTATATTGTTCTCATAAACATATTCCAATTTATAAAGGATACAAGGTCTCTTAAATTTAGTTTTGTTTGCTATAGTGAAATAATCCAATAACTATAATTTTAATCATAAATGATAAATTTTCCCAAACTGGCTTGTTGATTTTATTATATGCCTTGTGTGCTAAATATAAATCCTGTAATAAATAAGTATGCCAGGTGCCAGGCATTAAAATGGCTTATACTTAATTGAAGCAGAGGGATCCTAATGTGATCAAAACAAATGGATCGTGAGTCCACATAAATTACCATTAATTAATCATTTAGGCAAACAACCAATTTACCGAGGAGATCGGATCTTAATCCATCTAATCCTTGACATAAATAATATTCTAGGAGAACAATATTTATTTCACAGTTTAATGCATGCCACTCCCCCCCCCCCCATTCAAGTAACTTTTGTGTTAAAATCAAACTGGTAGGGATTATTATTTAAATTGCAGCATTACATAACAACGGACTTTTGATTATATACCATGCCAGAAAAAGAAATATCTTAAAATCATCACTTTGGAAGGCAAACATTTTTACAATATTTAGAAATAGAGTGAAGAATAAGTATATCTAATCATAAAATATAAATCTAAATGTGACAATCGTAAATATTTCAAGATATATAACCCCTTTTGAAATCCATCAAACAATACTTTTTGCTTTATCTCTACTAATTAAAATTCATACAATCGTACGAAATTTTTGCACAATGAAACGTGTGAAGAATTGTCTTCGATCATCTATGACGAGAGAGTGGCCTCTACACTTTCTGAGCGATGGAAGCAGAATACTCCATTAAAAAGTACCCCCCCCCCCCTCCCTTCGAAAAAGATGGTTAATTATTTTTTAGCACCCATAAATTTCAAAAATAATTGCATCAATCTTTAATATATAATAAAAATAAAATGTAAAAAATGTGTATACTTTAAAAATATTATTTTCAAATTAATAATTTAAACAAATTAGGAGAAGAGATAGCGAAAGAATTTATAATTTCATCAATCGGACAAAACCTATTTTTGCATAGATATCATAGCAATATTTTTTAAAAAGACTCAGGAGATCATAATGAACTTCAACGCAAATTTATTATATTTACATTACACCTATATCTTTAGTAACTAGTATGATAATAACAAGAGAATGAACCATGGTTTTGATATTCATCGAGAAACTTTATATGGGTATACAGAGTAGGGGATGCTCCTTAAAAAAGGATCTAGATATTTTATAAAATATATATCTTATATACAGATACAAATACCACTAAGTAAAGTATCTTAGATACAAGATACTTATCATGAAAAAGTCGTTTCTCTATCTGCTATAAAGGAATTAAAATTCTTTTGAAAATTAAGTATCATCAATACAAATATACGTATTTTATTTAAAAATGACATAAAGATTTTGTATTTTAGATACAAATTTTCGCGGTATTGTCCAACTCTAGGTACGTCATTTAAAATTGAAGGGGAATAAAATTTTTTGACCATTATTATCCTATTTAATAATTAAAATAGATACAAGCCTCGATGCTCATATAAACACTACTAAAATAAATTAAATTTTATAATAAATCATTAAAAATTATCAAGGTATTTTATTTTGTTTTATTTCATATAATATAAATTATATCATCTAATATATTTTTAAAAAAAAATTCTTATTCCATTTTAATTATTATTATCTGTTTTATATACCAGAAAATAGGTTGGAAAAGTGAGACTTAAATAGAATCTCATTAATAATTCATGATATTATTTATGTAACTTTTTTAGTCTTTTTAATTATTGAAAAATCTATAGTGGTATATAACATTTTGAAAATATAATTAAAATCAAAATTTCTCAATTTTTTCAGCACTCTGTTTTGTTGTGATGAGGAAAATTTCGATTTATATAATTAATTTATCACTTCCATTTCATCTAATTACTAATTAATTAATTCTACCTCTCTCATTGTCAAACAATGGTATTATAGTTATTTAAGAAAAATACTCCTATCTTTTCTCATGGTACTAAACACAAAATATTTATAATTTTAAGTATTATAAATCGAATAGAATCAAGTTTTTAACTCTCTAAAGGGTTTTATGGAGTAATGTTTCCATTCCCTAGATATTTTAGACATCATTATGTTAGATATACTGAACTGGTTATTTCAATATTTGCCTATTTTACTATAATTTAGAAAAACTCGCATTTTAACTCACACAAGTTAAAAGAAATACATTATTAACTTATAATTATTGCTTTCTGTAGATTTTTACAATATAAAATATTGAACTGCATCGGGCCTAATTTCCCAAGCCGAAATATTTTTAAAAAAATTTGTCCGGACCGGCCCGATCCCGAACGAATTTTTTTTATTTGTCCCGAAAATTCTGATTCGAAAAAAATAAAATATCCGCCCGGGGTTCCAAGTCAATTCGGCACGGAAAATTTGACGTACAACAATTCAGCGCTTAAAATTCGGCGCGGCATCAACTTAGCGCCTATCTAATACAGTTGTAATTTATTATAAATTTATTAGTATAAAACAAAAGGATCATTAAATAGAAGTCATGTTGAGGTTTCGTCCTAATAGGATATTTTTCATTTTGTTTTTTACAAAAATTTCAATTTTATTTACAAATTGCATGATAACGATAAAATATTTAATAAATCAAAAAAAAAAATTGATTTACTAAACCGATATTTATACCCAGATTTCTTTGGTGGACCTTATTTACCATGTTATAAGATATGTTGATCAGAATAAAAATCATTATTT